CAGTCGTCTTTCGGGGGCAACCGGCTCATCCGGGCCACTTGTCAACAGACCCAAAGTTCCATTCCCGCCAACGATCCATCGAGCTCAGAGTTGCATCATCTGAAACAGCGCCAGCGCCAGCGCCAACATCATCGTCATATGTCCTGACACTCTATCCCAATCGCGAGTTCTGTGACACCTACAAGACCAAGAACCCTCAAGTCAGCAGCATTGGGGCCGTCCTCATTGTAGTCGCCATGTCAATTCTGTTTTGGCTATATGATTACTTTGTTCGCAAAGAGTTCAACTCAAAGCAACAACTTCTCGAAGCTAAACGATATTTCATGCGTTTTGTGTCTCATGAAGTCAGGACGCCTCTCAACGCTGTCTGTCTTGGTCTGGCCCTCCTCAAGGAAGAGCTCGACGACGCCAACGCGGCGCAAGAGCCACCCTGCAACAACTTTTCATCTTCCACTTCCGCTTCCCTCTCCTCCAGCATCAGTTCGTCATCATCTACCCCTGATGTCGAATCCTTTTCCGGCCTCGTCAACGACATTTGCGACTCGGCCGAATCTGCTGTCCAGGTACTCAATGATCTATTGCAGTACGACAAGATCCAAATGGGAAAATTCACAATGGAAAACACGGTCATCTCCATCGTCGACCTCGTACAAGACATTTCCAAAGAGTTTCGGCTCTCTGCCCGCAAAAAGAACATTGCAGTTACCTTGGATACCAGTCCCATGATGACGATGCGAGAAACAACAAGCCCGGATAGCAAGCGTCGTTGCGACGAGGAAATGGGCCCATTCCATTCCCCACAGGACTTCAAAGTTGTGGGAGACAAGATTCGAATCACTCAGATCCTTCGAAACTTGGTTTCGAACGCCGTCAAGTTTGTCCCCGAACAAGGTAAGGTTTTGTCCACGAGCGGCCGGCTTAAACTTTGAAACACGCACATGGCCCCACACGCTCATCACCCTTTTGTTTCATTTATTGCTCTGCCTGCAATTACCATACCGGTAGGTCACATAACCCTCCGACTCTCCTGGGTTCCAAACTCGAACACGACAAGCCGCAGCCCACGCGGGAATAAGGGATGTGACGCCAGTTGGCACGAACGATATGCCACACTCCTGCAGCATCGAGGCGATAATGCAGAGCCGCGCAACAAGAATGATAGCTACACTCTCAAGTCGGGCCAAGAAGTGAGCTACGAACGGCAGGGTATGCTCCACCTTGATGTAATTGATACCGGGGCTGGAATGACCCCTTCTCAACTTAAGAAACTCTTCCAAGATGGCGCCCAGTTCAATGTGAATGAGCTACAGGCCGGACAGGGAAGTGGCTTGGGGTTATTCCTCAGCAAGAGTATGGCCCAGCAGCACGGTGGAGAGCTGTCGGCGGCATCGCAAGGGCTCGGGAAGGGCACCACCTTTACATTCACATTGCCCCTGTACTTTATTGAAACCGAAAGTTCTCGTGATACCATATCCAAGAGTATTCCTTCTCCCGGCAGCACCTTGTGGAAGGGGGCGTCTACGACCGACAGATGTAGTGAAAGCGACGAAGGACTCGACAGTCGTCCAACGATCCGCATGAATGGCAGATTAACTCCGGAACCCCACAACGAGCACGCAAGGATACCCATGAGTACATTGTCAACTGATCCGGTGGTTGACCAGAGCCACCAAAACTGTTCCACACTACCATCCTGTCAACCAACTCCAACCAAAACACTTCCAGTTTTGCCCGCAGCAGTTCCCAATGCTGCGAAATTGTCACGGCAGCCACAACTTCGAATCTTAGTGGTCGACGATGTGCCATCGAATCGAAAACTCTTGGCCCGAATGGCTCGTAACCGAAAGCACAATGTGGATGAAGCCTACGATGGCCAGCATGCTGTTGAAAAGGTGATGGAGTCCTTTGCTTCAGACCAGGAAGAGGGAGCAGCTAACCCTTACCAGGTGATTTTGATGGATTTCGAAATGCCACGGCTGAATGGACCAGACGCAACTCGTCGCATTCGCGAATTGGAAGGATGCCAAGACATATTTATAGTTGGCGTAACGGGGAACGTCCTGGCAGAGGATGTGGCTCACTTTCTGGACAGTGGTGCAGATCACGTTCTTCCCAAACCGGTAAAATTCCCAGCATTGGAAGCTTTGTGGAAAGACAAGTTCCCCGCCGCTGGTGCAGCAGACAACAATGAATTCGCAAAGGTACCCACGAGCACTTCATCCACTGATCCGGTGGTTGATCAGAGAGACAAAAACTGCTCGACACTACCACCCCCTCAACCAACTCCAACCAAAACACTTCCAGTTTTGCCCACAGCAGTTCCCAGTGCTGCACAATTGGCACTGCAGCCACAGCTTCGAATCTTAGTGGTCGACGATGTGCCATCGAATCGAAAACTCTTGGCCCGAATGGCTCGTAAACGAAAGCACAATGTGGATGAAGCCTATGATGGCCAGAATGCTGTTGAAAAGGTGATGGAGTGCTTTGCTGCAGACCAGGAAAAGGGAGCAGCTAACCCTTACCAGGTGATTTTGATGGATTTCGAAATGCCACGGCTGAATGGACCAGACGCAACTCGACGCATTCGCGAAATAGAAGGATGCCAAGACATGTTTATAGTTGGCGTAACGGGGAACGTTCTTGCAGAGGATGTGGCTCGCTTTCTGGACTGTGGGGCTGATCACGTTCTTCCCAAACCGGTAAAGTTTCCAGCATTGGAAGCCCTTTGGAAAGACAAGTTCCCCGCCGATGGTGGTGCAGCTGGTAAGCACCCAAACTCATAAAAAGGAGGCTGAAGCTAGGCGGCTATGTATATAGGAGCGATGTAAATAGAAGCTAAAGCAGCATGTACAAAACACCAGACTGTACTCTGTCCCTGCTCCAGCTCTGTCCAGCCAGCTAGTAGCATTGGTTTTGGTAGAGCCATGGATCCAGCCAGGGAGTTTTCAAGCCCAGCCCGCCCGCTGATAGGGAGGCTTGCAGTTTGCGGCTGCAGGCTACTTGTAGCTAGATTCTGGATACAATGATTACACCTGCCTCCAACTTGCAAATATTCACCTGGCAGTTGCCGTGGTGTACCATAGGCTTCTGGCCTCTGAGGAACTAGCGAGCTGACCACTGGATATGAGAAGCAACGACTGAGTCGAGTCGAGTCACTCCATTGGGCCTTCAATTTTGCTTAAGATTGAGATTGGGTGTGTGCACTGCTGCATCCGGAGTTCTCCCAGCAAATGGAAAAGCTTGCTGCGATAGCTGCTGCAAAACTCTTTTTGACCACTACTTCTCTTAGAGAGGTCCAAGATGTCTCGAGAACAAGCTAGCTAGCGGCTAGTCCATGTTGGCAAGTAGACGTGTATTGGGGCCTTGGCAGAGTGAGGAAGTAATGGAGGGTGGAGGACGCAGAGTTGATCACTGTATCGGACTCTATTGACTCGACTCAAAAGCCACTTCTTGACTCTTGACCCGACTCGATAGCTACAGTCGTACTCGACTCACTAACTACTTTCCACTACATGTAAGCCTTACCACTGTCCGCACTGAGCTTCCGCATTCCGGATCTACTTCCGCATACTGGTGTGGCCCCGGACCTCAAGAGAATAAGAAGCAGTTGCCGGTTGAGTTTCTGTTTGTTTTCGGATGGTGCAACCGGAGACTATGGCCTGCTCGGTTGAACACGGAAACTGAGGCTTTTTTCAATGACAGCAATGGCCCAACGCACAGAGCCATCACTACTATTAAAATAGTACTGTACAACTAGTAGCTTTTAGTACCTACAGTACCAGTTTAGTGGTGGCACTAGCTAGACTAGTAGTATCTGTGCCGGAACGGTACCTGAAGGAAAGAGAAGTGATAGAGCTCTGCTCGTACTGGTTCTCAAGAAATCGAATCCTGACCAGAACAATGACTTTCTGGGTAAGGCTTGATTTAAGATAGTCATTCTGTAAGCAATGTGAACGTAACGAACCTGTAGGATGCAAGGATGCTGGTTTTGGGATGCTGGGTAATGAAGTATATCATAGTATTTAGATCAATGTTGCAGTCATTTTCTGATAGTTGTAAAAAGTGATCACCCAATGATAAAACGGTTGCTGGGTTTATCTTGCCATTTAAGTCATAGTTGTAGTAAGGTTAGTTTTCAGAATGCTATATAATAGGTCATAATGAAGCGGAAACCCTACTTGGTGGTTGGTTCATCATCTAGTTGTAACACGAAAATGTCCATGACACGGAATGTTCGTGTTGGTTGTTAGTAGTTCAGTGGTTTGTTTGTAAGCCGTGATTAGAGCAGTTTGGAGAAGGTTGAGGCAGGGAAGTGAACGTTCGCATTTAACAGGTGCCTGAGTGAAGTATAGATGAATGACAAGACTGGTAAGAGGTCATTAATAAATGACTTGTATTGAAATATCCAAGTAAGTATCCAATCTACATAGTTTACTGTATCAATGGTAGACTTTTTGCTGCAACCAGGAAGAACAACCACTCTGCATGCAGAGCTGCATGCAGCATGTCCCAGTGCCACCACTGGCGAGATAATTGATGGCCGCTGCTGCCAAGCGACCCGGCATTTGGATTTTGTACCTGGCATTGCATACCGGTAGAGGAGCGACACTTCAGAAACCAAAATACAACCAGAATAGAAGACTGCCCCATCCATCACATCCACCTCTCACAATCTCTCAACTGAGAATCGGTAAAGCAACCAAAACACTACCTAGCTAGTAGCAACACTACCAATCTCTACTACCAATCTCTACTATTTTTACAAGTCGACCATGACCGCCGCTGCCGTTACTGTTCTCCCCCATCAACCGTCTCTATCGGTACCGTTGGATTCCTCGTTAAAGAAGAGAGGTACCAGTCGACGATGTGCGTCCATTGCTCTGGATGACGTATTTGGACAAAGTGTCGTCAGCTGATGACGTCGAAGAGACGTGCTACAATTTCAACGACACCGATTTCGTCCATCCGTATGTCCAACAGTTGGATCAAGTGTGGGATCAATGTGCAAGTCCCAAGGAACCCAAGCCGTTGCATCTGGAACAAGAAGACTTGACCAAGCTCGTATCGGGCAAAGGCCGTGGTTTGGAAAAGAAACTCTTGAGTGACATGAAAAAGAACCGCGAAACCATCGTCAAGCAAGTCTTGGATGCCCAAAAGAGTTATCGCAACTTGCCCATCCGCGCCGATCAAAAGGCAAAGATGCTCAAGAACAAGTACAAGAAACTCACTACTCAAAGTAAGGTCTTTGCTCTCACACTCGCCAAGGGGGATGCTCAAGTTGCTACCAAACTATACGGAAACACCATTGCGGCCACCTCGGCTTAGCTACTCTAGCTATTGAGCTAGGTGGTATTTGGGGTGACTTACCATGGGGCCTCCTCTTCTTGCATTCAACCTTCTTGTCTTCTCGCTTCCCGCTTCCCTATCAATATATATAGCATCATTTTCAATCTCATCTCTCATCTCCTTATGACACAACAGCATACACTACAAGTTCACTACTAAGTTTCAATAGACCACTTTCATATCTTAACTCTTATTTACGCTTCTAGCTGGCTAGATAGGAGCCATACTAGCTATGCGTTGGGTCTGCACCAGCAGCCAATGTTGTTGTCCGCGCTGGTTGAAAGCCGGTTGCAAGCTGGAAGCTAGAGATTGGCCAATGCAGAACTGGTTGGATGACAACTAGTAGGGCCGGCAGGCCAGCAAGCTCCTCGATGAATGATCTCCCCAGTATTCAATGATGTACAGGTACCTTATTGGCTTGACGCTCAAAGGACTATTGGTAGTGGCAGACAACTCCCCACTGTCTTGCTTGTTTGGAAGGTGGGTGGTACAGCTTGTGCTGCCTAGTCCTGGAGTCCGCTGCTTGCTTTCTGCCTGCACGCAGCTGCCTTCTTCGTGTTTGCCTTTGGTTGATCAGCAGCCACTTGCTGGTGGAGCAACTGAGTCTCGAGATGGGGCAACTCCCCAAGCTGACTGATGGGCGGACTCGGCTCCTTCATACCTGGTACCTACTTTGCCGAACAGAGGCTTGCCTATCCTGGCTGCCTATCCTTCTTCACAGAGGATTACTGCTCTTCTATATGGACCATTGCGGCGGCCATGACCCATTGGCTGCGGGGTACTTAATCCACGACGCCACCGACACAGCGGTCTGTGCTGCAGCACGACGTAGTCAGGAGCGATTTTGTGATCCTACTTTGGCCTTCATTCACCTACGGTACTACCGTACGGTATGTAGCTAGCAACCTTGCACCGATAGACGTCAAGGGTTCGATTCATTGCATACACGGTGGGATACCCCAGCTGCCACCGATACCGTAAGAGGAGTCAAGAGCAAGGCTTCGTAACAAAAACATTAGTATTTCTACAGTACACAGGTAACATTATAGTCTCAAAATTGGACCTGAACCTTGGCCGTGAAAGCAAGAGCACAGCACATCACAGCAGAGCAACGACGACCAGGTCTTCCCTTTGTATCGTCGAGTCCGTCCATGCCATGCATTGCTCATGATCCCGGCAGGTCAAGCCATAAGAGCCATGCAGCTGGTTCGACCCACCACCACTTGAAACAAGGCAGAGCGTCGATTGATCATATCATATTCATAATACAGGTATACACAATTTTCACACCCTTGGTCACGGTTTTGACTTTGGACTGTTCGTCAACAATATACATTCAATGATTCCCAAAAAACTGTTTTGTGTCGTCTCACGCACGATACGATACGGCACCATGCATGCTAGTAGCAAAAGGCCGCTGACGCTGCAAGTACTGCAGCCGCCATGGTTGGTCCAAAGCTGATCGCGGCTGAAACGCCCTCGTCGGCTTCAATCACCCCATCGTCATTGCCTTCTTCGTCAGCAGAGTCATAGGTCCCGTTGCCCATCATCGTGGAGTTCTTCATTTCCATCTCGTCGGTACTATCGGCAACGACAAAAGTCGTGCAGGCGAGGGCCAACAAGAGGACAAGGATCAGTTTCTGGACGACGGACTTCATTATTGCTTTGTTGCGATGTTCGTGCTTGGGTTGTGTTATGTTGCGTTGCGTTGCGTTCGAGTGGGAGCGGGAGTAAACGGTGAGATTACGGCAAGGAGAGCACTTTTGATGGAGGATCTTTGGCGAGAGCAGGAGAAAAGAACTGTGTGACAAAACTAGATTGTTGGGTGTTTTGGAAGCAGCCAATGAATGATGTTGGTTGCGGCTAAAAATATCAAAAAGTTTTCTCCTCCATGCTCCACCAAGAGCAGACGTTGAGCCTCTCAAAAATTGATCCTTCAACCTCGATAGTGCAAAATTTTGAGTTAGAGCCAACTAACGGCATTTCGCCTGAATGAAGACTAACGCCATTGCTCGATGTCGTCAGGAACCGTGTTTGAGTTGTTGTCTTGGTACGATTAGTACACATTCTACGTGTCTTCTTGTAGGAACGCAAGCCCAATGATTGTCACTCGAACTGTGACTGCCCTGCGTTCCAGAACCTTCCTCACGTCTGCGCCATTCAAATAAACACTCACCACGAGCCGCAATCAGCAACTCCACAGAACACACATCAAGAAGCTTGCTTGCTGGATTCATCATTCATTCGGAAGACCCAAATTTCTCTGCAAGATCAATGACAGTTACTTATAAAAGACTTCGCAAAAATTTCGGAGACCACTTTTCTCTCATAAATTGGGAAAGAAGCCACGTCCATCGTACGTTGTCTTGAGGTTTTATTTGCAAGAACCAACACTACCAAAGTACCTTTCCGGTTGGAGGCAGCGCACCAATTCTACTTGGAAGCATATATCTTTTTCAGCTAGCTAGAACGCAAAAATGAAGGTCTCCACATGGATGCTAGTACTCTGTCTCTTGCTCGGCCTGGCCACTCTGGACACCGTAATGGCTCAGGGCGGAAAGAACGACAAGGGTGACAAAGGAAAAGACAAGGACGACGAAGACGAAGACATGGATGAAGACGAAGACGAAGTCGAAGCTGCTGTCGAATTCGAAGGCGAAGTTGTTGTAGAAATGGACAACTCGACAATGACAGAAGATTTGGAAACGCTCAATGACCTCGGTTGTCCCGGCTTGGACTTTGATGCTGATTGCGAGGCTTGCTTGGAAGCTGGCTGCGTTATGACCGTAGGCGACTGCTTGGCGGACTGCAGCGTCATGGACGTTGCTTGCTGGGATATGCAGTACCATCCAAACAAAACGGCGGCCGATGTTTGTCTCATCATGACACAACAGGAAGCCGATGCGGCGATTTGTGGTACGAGCGACCGATTGGCGGAGACGGCAGAAATTTTTGAAAAAATAGCTTGAACGGAACCGTCTACCTAACGAGACTGAATTGAATGGTCGTCTGATGCATCTCATGTCATTGCTTTTGGTTTTGCTTTTGCTTTTGCTATTATTTCCCCAGGCGATCCCGAAGTGCAAACTTGCGAAACTTGTACCTCCACTGTGAGATCCGATGGCGAATCAACTTGTGGTTGGTACGAAAATTATTGTGGTACAGGTGATGCGTGTGACTTCCAAGGAACTTGTCCAATGGATACATGTGAGCCAGAGACAATGCCCGAGGAGGAGGAAGAACCAGCACCTGAGGAGGAGGAGGAGGAAGAAGAAGAGCCAGCACCAGAAATGGAAGAACCCGAGACAGAGCCTGAGGAACCAGAACCTGAAATGGAAGAAACAGAGCCGGAAGAGGAAACTGAGACCGAACCAGAGGCTGAGGAGGTTGCTGAACTTGAGACTCAAGAAACACCAGCACCAACCGAAGTTGATGAAATGGATGAAATTGCCGATGAAATGCCCGCTACTGCTACTGTGCAACCATCCGTGGTGGATGTCCACCCTTGCAACAATCTTCCTGGCTGTGAACAGTGTCTCAATTCCCGCATTGAGTGCGCTTGGATCGCCGATTCTTGCGAACCAAGCTGTGATGTCATTGCGGATGCGGCCTGTTACCATCCGAGCAACTTTGCCAACCTCACGGGACCCGAGATTTGCGCCATTGCCAACACTACCGAGGAAGTGCCCTTTGATGGCCAAACTGGCGGCCCCTGCACGGGATTCCAATCTTGCGAACCATGCCTCAATAGCCGTATTGATTGTGCCTGGGTGTCGGGTACTTGCCTTACTCCGGCGTCTTGCCAAGTCATCCAGGATGAGACCTGTTACCATCCATCCCAGCCGGAGTTTTTGAACATGACTGGGCCGGAAATCTGTGCTGCCTCAGAAGTCGATGCCACCGACCTTGAAGTCAACCGAGCAGCAAGCGACGAGACAACGAATGGTGCCACAAGTGACGCTGCGGACGGTTCCTTTCTACAGACGGTCGTTACTCTCCTGGCTTTTTCAGCTCTGCTTTCCATGAAGCAGTTTCTGTACTAGTTGAGCTAGTTGTTGTCAGATTTGCTTGCGGCAGGCCAGCCCGCGTTTATATTATTTAGCATTCATGCATAATCAACCAAGCCATTCATAATCCAAGGAAAATCGTAATGGGAAAGGAATAAGACCATAATAAAATAAATTTAAAACTCATGTATTAGAGGAGCATCTATTCGACGAACAGGAGGCTCATTAATAGATCTATGCATCATGCACCCACTAGCTAGCATTGGCTAGCCATCTCCGAAGTACAGCGCCGGATTAGGTGGTTCGGCGTGATTGTTTGCGAAAATGGCGCCAAGCACGGCGACAGTAGACAGTGACATGCAATCGGCAGCATCGGGCCAGATGACCCACACTGGCACAGCCCAAAGACAGCCCAAAGATCAGAATGGATGCGGGCATTAGGAGCAGTGAAAAGCGATAAATCAGAATCACAGGAATTGCCACCAGGCTGACAGTTCCCAGTGCAATTCCCATCATTTCGAACCCGGGATGGTTCAGGAACATTGTATTGACCACGACCACAGCAAGGAGCAAGGAGGCGACGCAAATCAATGTGGACGCAAGCTTCTGCTGAGCCTGCCAGGTGAGAGGATCATTTCCGTATGATACTGCATTTCCCGCTTCGATCATGAATCCAACAAAATGACAAAGAATGATCGTGTACTGCGAAAAGAGTAGCATCTCCTTGGACACCAACTTCCAAAGATTGGCTTGCAGCAGCTTGATTTCCCAATAGCCGCCTCTGGTGGCTACTAGGAAGAATGTGAAAAGACCGACAATGGAAAGATCCACAACGACTGGCCACATGCGCGGCAGCGCGGCACTCATGCAAAAAAAGAGAGCAATACTGGCGGGAACCAGTGCGGAGGGGACATTTTGACGGTACAAGTAGATGGAAAGGAATGCAAGGACAAAGATGGAGGACCACAGGAATATCTTGAAGGGTGGGCGACAAATGTGCGCCACTTTCAATGGGTAACCCGATGCCTCCTCGTACCCCGAGTTTGTTGTTTGATTAAAAGCAGTTTCCAGAAGCGACTTCCTTTGGCGTGTGGTGATGTTGTAGGTTTCCAGTGACAGTGTGTGTTGTTCGAATTGAATTGGTTCTCCTGTGAAGCCATTGGAACGGCGAGAACAGACGGAAACCTGTTTGTGGCGTGCTACCCAGAGCGTGTCTTGTGTGGTGTACACCTTTGGTGCGTGCATGTTATAGCCACAGGGATACTTTTCTTCCTCCAAACTCGAGCCCGGAAATTGGACAATGGTATTATTATTGCTGTTGTAGCACAGGACTTGGTGGTGTGCAATGGTTGGATTATCCTTTGTATTGATAGCACACCAGCCCTTATGCGGCGGAATGACGGGGACGCCAATGAGCCCCACCGAGGACTCCGCCCCGTAGAAACCGTGGCGACGGGGAAGGTATGTCATGTCCATGGGAACTTCGCGTGTTACGGCAGATTTGTTTTTGTGTGACGACGATGAGACGATCACTACCCCCATTTCCGTGAAGATGTAGCCCTGATCATATTTTCTTGCAAATGGGAATGCTACCAAGCCATCCTCGGTCTCGATGTACGGTAGCAAACTGTTCCTGGACACCAATGTGCCGTTGGGGGACGGGTACTCTTTGCAGTCCGACCGAATCCAAGTCTGAACCTCTGCGGGTACTACTAGGCTGTCAAAACCGGTAAGATTTTGCAGCTGTGACAGCGCCACTGGGTGGTCCCAGTACTGACTACTCGAAGAAATAAGATTTAACATGTCGCGGAAGAATGGCCAAAGGAAGCAATACGGTAGCTGGGCGCAACTGGCTGCGTTGCTCATGTGTGCCCAATTCCCGTGTAGGACATTGACATAGAATAGAACGAGGCAACACACGGTGCCCCCCCATAGAGCCAAGGCAAAAATAGCATACAAGAGTCCAACGAGAAAGATCGAACATGTTTGTTTGGGCGAGACACACCCGAATAGGGCATCCACGGATTGAGCCATGGAAAGAACGGAATGTGTGTTTGTTTCTTGTTCTTCTACGTCCAAGGAACGGGCAGCCTTGAGAGAGACTCGGGCATTGAGAAGAAACGTGAGTAACATGATAATGGGTCCAATGGAATATAGAAGTTTCATCTTTGTACCGTGTTCTTCGTAGTTGTACCGGTAGGGTTCTTCTTGCATTTCGTAGAAGTATGGAACTCCCATTTTGGCGTTGTAGGGGAAATAGCGGTCGTAGAAGAGGACGTCTGCGTGACGATAAATGACATACGTCCCAACGACAGCCACGATGTTGACCACGAGCAAGAGAATGGGTTTCCGAAGCTCTCTCCACCAGTGCTGCATCCGTTCCCACTGACTCGAGAAAGATTGTACTTGCCGTTCTTCCTCCAATTCTTCGCTTTCGTCCTCTGCCTCCCACAAGGAGGTCATCTCCAATAAGGGAGATGTGTCTTCTTCTTCGTCCATGCACGTAGTGCTTATCATGGTTCAATAATATCCACACATGCAAACAGTCAAATGCTTTGATCAGGTTGTTCAAGTTGAAAGAATGAAGAATGAGCGTCAGGGGGTATCGCGTATCATCCGAGTTGATTCTGTTCCGGGCCGGCAAAAGGATCTTTTTTCATACGTGATTTCAGACCTGATTATGTAGAGTATCTTTGCTGGCTTCGATTAACGGTACGAGACAGGTTTGCTGAGAGTAGTGTTGAGTGCCTTACTGCCGTGGGATCTGCCCAATGTACAGGACCTGCTGGTATGATGTCTCAAGAATTGGTGCACAGTACCGGCATCATAGAAGCTAACTACCAGTACCAGTAGCACCAATTTGCAACCTATAGGCAGCTCTTGAGGAGAGATGTTTGGCGATGCCTCAGCTTTGGCACCAAGGAGACCATCAGCAGAGACCACAAACGGAGTAAAGTGGCGGCGTTGGGAGAGACAGGCTTGGAGATGCTTGTTTTCCTTATTGCGTATAGGATCCTTGCAACTATGAGAATCAGCCAGGATGACAAGGACATATGGAATTCTTTGGGAGAAAGAGACGGTAGTAGTAACAGTGAGTGTTACCGTAGACAATGTACTGGGGCCTACGGACGCACAAGTCCATACCATCTTACTCACATTATCGCTGACAAAGATGCTCTCCGTACAAGATATATCTTATCGCTAAGACAAAAAGATGCTCACAAAATGGCGAAGACACTCGCCACAATGGCCAAGAGGCCCAAGACACTTGCGTCGCTATGCCAAGATGCCACCTAAGTTGTCACCAAGAGGGCCATTGCGCATGGGTAAGATAGCACGTCTAAACCTTTGCGAACCCACAAAGGGCAATGTGGGATTCTTCTGGTCTCGTGTGATCTGACCGATCAGGTTTGTGACCGAACTGTGACCATAGACATCAATGATCTTGGCATTTGCTGCATCAATAGTGTACCTACAGTTCACCACCATGTATTGTTGAATCCTCCAGATTTTGTTGCGCCTAGAGTACTTCTGCTTGAAGGGCTTGCCTTGGCCATTGACCTCATTGTTGGTAAAGTCTTTAGCAGCCTTGTTGGTGCCAATGCCAAATTGATATTCCTGCCACATTTCTGTGAGGCTCTTGATGTTGTTGGCTAGCTTGGCATACTGACTGACATCGCCCCTTGTAGGCTGTGTGGTGATTCGTTGCCTTGCTGGTGGTGGTGGTGGTGGTGGTGGTGGTGGTGGTGGTGGTGGTGCGGCTTCCTCTTCCTTGCCTTCCTCCTGTTGCCGTGCAGGTCGTGCAGGTCGTGCAGGCTGTGCAGCTCGTGCAGGTTCTTCTCGACGTTGACGTTGTCGCTGGTGTGCTTCTGCTTCGGCATGTTCTCCTCTCTGTCGTCGTCTAACTGGATCCTGTCGGCCCAAAGCACTCTCGATACTGCCCCCAAACCTCCTCTGATTGGATACCACTCTGTCGAACTGCTGTTGCTGCCATGCACGTAGGCTAGTTTGCTCTGCCCTCAACGCTGTAAACTGTTGGTCGACTGTCTGCTCCAATCTCTGTACATAGGACAGAACGCTGTTGATGTCTTCGCGATTGGCTTGACCGTTGTTCTGTGCCTGCCCTTCTGGATTCGCGGCAGCCCCTTGTCCAGTAGTTGTTGCTTCAATAATGTCAAGGGCCTTGTTGACGTTCAGGACTTTGATGGGAATCTTCTCCACTGGATTTCCTTCGAAGTCCGGCTTCAACTGACTGAAGTTGGTTCTTACTCGGTCTACTTGTTCGGCAGGTAGATACTCAGAGGCGGCAGGATCCATGCAAGCCCAAAGAGTAGCAAGTGCAAGTACTGAACACAGCCTGTTGTCATTCTGGTACCGTGCTCTGATGCTGGGGACGCATGTAAAGAATAGAAAGTTCTCTGTAACGTCTTCTAATCCTTCTTTCAGCTTGTACATGATGGCTCCACCCTCGCATAAAATAGCAGCAACGTAGGCATCTGTGTAGTGATCTTCTTTGCCAATGTAAATCTTTCGTACTGTACGGGTGTTGCCTTCTCCAGCCCATCGACCTCTGAATTCAACTTCAATGACTAGTGCTCCTCCTCTTTTGGCACGGTCAGCTGTGTACTTCCTCTCAGAGTGCGTACCCAATCCCTTGTCTGCATTCTCGCCGGTTTCATCAAACAGATCAATGAATTCTTGGTGCTTCCAGCACACCCTTTCAACTCTAGCTGCGTACTGCTTCTTCAGGTTGTTTGGCCCCTTATCAACATCGTCATTCTCAGTCCACATGTGCACGGCATCAGGATGCATATATAGCCACTGCTCCAAGTAGATCGCCCAGTTCAGAATGCAACAGGTCTGCCAGTTCTTGGATGCAAGGATGATCTGATCCGGACAGTTCCTGGTTGTTTTCACGTTCTTGGACCACGACGTCTTCGTTTTCAGGAGGAATGGGAACTTCGTGTCACCATGGGGGGCATTTATCTTGAAGTGGGAAGTATCATCAATTCGATGGATCAAATGATTGGCCCACAATGTCATGGCGACATACTTGTATTTATGGTTGAAGTCAGTCTGCCGGCGTAACAACTCCAGGAGTTTCAAGAACTCGATGTGCGTATAAGCCCTCTTGTCATTGGGATCAACACCAAGTCCACGTGTTTCCAGCTTTTCCGCTTTGGCTAGCATGTTGTTGACTTGAGTCGATCGGGTTGGATTACCACCACTAGTTCCATTCGGAAAGTCCATCCATGCTGCGTTCTTGTTCGGCATGAACCAAGATATTGCTTGCTTGTATTTCTTGAGCGAACCCACTCTTGCTTTGGTAGGATAGTCAGTTGGTCCTGGATTGATTTTCCCGTAGGCTTTCCACTCTAAGTAGCGCCTCACATGGTGTGGCTTGACTCCTAGTAGCTCTTCCTTGGTGTATGTCTTCGCTCGAGGATACTTGTTGTCGATGCGACCATCCTTGTGACTCATTAACTCACAGATGTAGGCTTGATTTTTGTGATGCGCTGGGTAGTGCCAACCTTCTTCATCTGAGGATCCATCTGGCGGCGGCGGCGGCGGCGGCGGCGGCGGTGGCGGTGGTGGTGGTGGCGGCGGTGGCTCATCTTCAGAGGACACCTCATCGAAAACACTTCGTCCATTCGCCATCATTGTCGAAGATTGATCTCTTATCTAGCTAGCTAGCTATCGATCTTCCACGATAATTTGTGAGGAAGATCCGGAAAGGATTGATCGAGCCCTTTCATGTGAGACTAGATGGCTGGCGATGGTTAAGTAGACGCCAACTCAATGGGAGACTTAAGCGAGTAACATGCGCCAAACTTAATTAGATGGTGTCGGTAACATAAAGTACTGAAAAGCTTACTCTATGAGTTACTACTTTGGGCGAAGTTTCCCCTAGTTCACGTTCGGGATAGACGCTGGGACTGCCGTTTTCCCTAGTAGAAGCTCCATACCCTATGGTGGTGGGGGTGTTTCTGCTGCAATGTTACAGGAGTAACATTTCCGCCTTTATTTGCAGGGATCACAGAGACGAGATCCGTGACTGAAGAGTTTCCCAACAAAGTGTCTTCCAGTGTTGTACTAAGTGGTTAGCATCATGCCTATCAGAAACACGAGGATCCATGAGTTTCCATGAGGAACGAGGCAAGACTAATACTCTCTCTTGAAGATGACCACCGCCGGTACCCATCGGGAAGGACACCAGCCAAGAGCCACCGGAACAAAGTCAACCATGCCGGAGCTCTGCCGGTCACTGTTGACTCAGTTAGCCCCCCCTCGCTCCATAACGTTTCCATTAGTTTTTATTTTTCCTTAAAGTCTCGAGAAGTATTTATTTTTTCCGGTCCACATAATAGCTTTGCAAATGCTGACACCTCCGGCTAGCTAGTGCCACTTATTTGCCACCAGCCACTGCCACCGGTACCTTGGCTTCATGGTCACTGTGACCCCCCACCGGTTCCTGGTACAGCGATGTCACCTATCAGGCCCTCATGCAAATTGCAAAACTCTCCTCCCATCTATCAGCCCACAAAATTAAAATAAGCTCTTGAAAGAAGAAAGTGTTAAAAGCCGCCCACCCATGAAGATGAAGATCGCTGCACTCCCTCTCTTTACCATTACACTCATGGCAGTGATGGCCATGGTCCCCGGTGATGCTATCTGCTTTCCGAAAATCGGAAAGATGAAGCAGGTGGTTATCTCATGTCGCCCCCTCCAGCTGGAACCACACATATCCAATGCAGGGTTACCTGCACCGGTCCTACAAGTACAGTCAGCGCTGTTGAAATTCAAGTAAATGGAGTTATACGGGATAGGGTTGCCAATTGTGGGCGCACCACCCTTAAGGTTCCATTTGAATCTGGAGAGATACAGCTGTACTATGGGGTAGACATAAATGGTGCTAGCATCGATTGTGTTTGCTTTGGGGCCGCTGGCCCTACTGCAGACGATCCGTCCTCTTGTTTTTCGGAGGAAGCCACTGTGGCAGTGAAACATCCGGGCCAAGGACAAGTCCCAGTACCCACCAAAATGGCGGACCTCAAGATTGGAGACATGGTCTTGACCGCCAACAACCGTTACCAACCAGTCTATGCCTTTGCTCACAATGATGCCATGACAGACATGGAGTTCCTACAAATCCACACCACAAGCGGCAAGAACAACAAGAAACCATTGGAAGTCACTGGTCAGCATTTGGTCTATGTGCAGGGCAAGGACACTCCAGTCACGGCCAAATTCGTCAAGGTTGGTGATAGCCTCATGCAGGCTGGATATGGACAAGGAGCTGCCCTTGTCACCAAGATCAAGACTGTCCAGCGCCAGGGAATCTATGCTCCCCTCACCCAGGATGGCACCCTTGTGGTAGATGGCATTGCTTCTTCATGCTACATCTCCCTCCAGCCCAATGGCAATCCCCAAAGGATGGAACTAAATGGCCACTCTGCGTCCATGTTGTCTCACCACAGTGTTGCTCACATGCTCATGACTATGCCTCGTTTGGTGTGCATGGGTGGGATCAACCCCAAATTGTGCCAGGAATACAATAATGATGGTGTGGCTCATTTTGTGCAGATGGCATTTGATTTGTCCGACTGGTTCCATGCCCAGCACTGGGTGATTCAGTTGTTCCTTTTGACTGTCTACTTGGTGGTATTGTGTCCCCTCTATGCTTTGGAGCTCTTGTTTGGTGCCAAGCTGGCTGCTGCCATGGTTGTGGGTGGATTGGTCTTTGTGGGTTCTTTTGTCGGTGGAAATAATAATGCTCCTGCTGTGGACCCAATGGTGGACTTGAAGATAGAAACTTGAAGCAAGGGCAACCGGTTTCTAGATTGCTACCGGTACCAGTATAGAATTATCAGGGCCTGTGAAGTGTGAATCGAATCGAATCATTTGAAAAGAACGGTACAACCTCATTGTTGCAGCTTATTAGCTTAAAAGGATGGTAAATTACATGTAATTAATTAAAAACTAAACGAAGAAAGTTGTATGGCACAAACCTCAGTTCTCATCCTCTCAACTAAATGATGTTCTTCATGCAGACCTGCATCTGAAATTGCCCTTGCGAAAGCTACGGTACCCATTTTTAATGTCTGGGTGGATCACAAAGCCAAGCATCGATAATCGATAGATGTATCTGGGGCCAACCCAGCCGACGGCCAAACTGCAAAACCAACAGTACAGTACATGTACTATTAGTACCGTCGGCATGGAGCTTGGCACGAGCTCGGGAGCTGTTTAACTGGATGCCGACGAGCCGGCGTTCGTAATGGGCGCGAAAAATGACGGGTCTTTTTGATCTGGTGCTCACTTTTTGGGTTTCTGAACTTTTAGTTTGGGTAGCATTCACTCCGAGTAGCTAGCTAGTGGTATTTGAACCATGAGGGCTTCTACTAGTATTAATAGTAGTCTCGGTGGCAGCAGACGGCTGGTGCTGCTCCTGTTTATCTTATTCAACTTGGTTTCTGTGTGTCATTGTAAGAAGGATGACAAAGTTGAAGAAGAAGAAGAACACGAGTACATTTTTCAAGATGTGGATGAAGATACCGGTGCTACCACAACGGTAACTAGTACTACCACTACTACCACGACGAGCACGACCGTTGTTACTGGTAGCCCCACCACCAGTCCCTCGGCCAATAATCGCGAAGAAGAGATCATTCTGTTTTTGAGTCCACGCTTTGGAGACGCTGCCACGCTGAGCGATGATTCCACGCCCCAAGGCCAAGCAGTCAATTGGATGGCCAATGACGATCCCCTGCAGCTACCCATTCCACCGTCTCAACGATACTCGGGTGCCTACCGATTCGTACAGCGATACGCACTTGCTGTACTCTGCTTTGCATGGGCTCCACCGACGCCTGCCAATCTTCCAGCTACTACCAATACTACTAGCAAGACGAATACAACCAACGGGATTCCATTTCTCACGGGAGACAGCGAATGCGACTGGAACGACCAGATCCCACTCATTACCGGAGAAACACTTGTCATTGGAGCGCAGTGCAATGCCTTGCAAGAAGTCGATTATATTAATTTGCGTACGAATACAATACATTATGAATACATACACCTTATACCCTTTCTCATCCTTTTTGTTTCTCACATTTCCATTTCTTATCTTTTTCTGTTTATTTCATTTATTGTCATACATGCATGTAAAAAAGCCTCCATGAAGTTGGTGGGAACCATTCCGGATGAAACGGCTCTACTTTTGGCCTTGACGCACCTCACGTTGCCCTACAATCAGTTGGAAGGAGGCATACCCAATCGACTCCAGTACCTTACGGGACTCTCCATTATCGATCTACAACAGAATGCCATGACGGGAAATCTACCTGCGGCAGGATTCCAGAAATGGACCCAGCTCACGTCACTCGCGCTCAATGGGAATAAACTCACCGGAGTTCTACCCACTCAATTGGTCAACATGACATCTCTCACATCCCTCCAATTGCAAAACAATGAGCTTTTTGGGATTATTGAAATTCTCAATTTCATACCCACCCTCCTCCAACTCAATCTCGCCAGCAATTCCTTTGCCGGACGCATTAGTCAATTGAGTTTGGTCGATCTTGTCAACCTGCAACAACTGGACTTGAGTGACAACTTTTTTCAAGGAACATTTCCAGAAGACTTTTTACTTACCAACTCATCCGTCGTGCACAATGATACGACTACCATGGTCGTCACAACCACCACAACCACCACCACTACTACCGTCGGACGACATGGCGGACATGATTTCAATCCGGAACTCCAATTCTTGAGACTCCACAGCAATCAGTTTGCCGGGAATCTCGATGAGACACTCCTCAATTTGCCTAACTTGATTGCGTTGGATGTTTCCGATAATGTCTTTACGGGGACCCTGCCACAAGTGGACACCATTTCCAATCTGCAATTTCTCTCCTTGGCATCCAATCCGTGGCAACCGGGACCCATTCCCTGGGGATTGATCTCCACCACGCAGTTCAAAGAACTCAATCTCGGCGATACCAATCGCAATGGCAATATTCCAACTTGGCTCGGAATCAACCACTTTGACCTTGAGCTGTTGGCGCTGGACAACAATGATTTGGAAGGAACCATTCCGGAATCCATCGGTGACATTGCCAGTCTCCGGTATCTGCTCCTCCAAAACAATAAACTCGAAGGAACGCTGCCTGTTTCCATGGCCAATTTGCAGCAACTCGAGGTCTTGCGCATGGACGGAAATCGGTTGGCGGGCAGTACGGCCCCCATTTGTCTACCGAATTCCACCGCGTTGGTCTTGTTTGCCGCCGATTGTACCGATTTTGACGACGAATGTCCCTGCTGCACTCATTGCACTCGTTGTTGGGGCTGCGATGGCGATACCGAAGCCGTCTTGGCGACCAATACGTGGACGCATCGTGGTGGTACTCGTGCGCGAAAGTAAGCAACCACAGACAACACATCGAGATACATGGAAAGTGTATTTATTGGAAAGACGTGACATGTCTGATGGTGAAGAGAAACAATCGTAGTTTGTAATCTGTAATGAGTATAGTTATCAACGTGTTCCTAGTTCTGCATGGCCTGTCGTGCCTGAGCGAGAAGGTGTAGCCTAGAGATCAAAGTTGCTTTGCTGGCCAGCGGTGAACGACCAAGCGTGATGCATGAGTAGGAAGCCAACCCATTTTGCCAACGTGCGTGGTAAGAGGGCCCCAGTAACGCCCCCCGGTCGCTCGATTGCTCCTAACTACTCGTCGCAGTTGATGAGAACCTTGAGATTGCCCGGCACTTCTTGCTATGCGATTATTTCCCGCGTTGCCATGAGTTCAACTATGAAAACCCACCAGCAAGAGCCCCCGGTCCCAGCTGAGAGAGCCCATAGGTAACGGTCCCCTGGCTGCAGCCAAGACCGAGCGCAGCGACCAGGCTTTACTTGAGATCAAGTCATTCCGAAGGAGCGCGCGGTTGAACCTGAGCGAGGGACGAAGGTGACATTGAACGGGAGCCGAACTAGCTGCTAGAACTTTTGGCTATCGTGGTAAGGGCCGCGAAGCTTGCAGGAGAAGTCTGGCTGGGAGCGGGAAGTAATGCTTCACTGAAGCTCATTACGAGCGCTGGAACCAAAAAGAAGCCACATCTCCCTTTCAAGACCGCACGCACCTTTGGCATTTTCCCTGCCAAGCAAAAGCCCCCCTTGATCGCTCACTACAAAGTGGTAGCTACTCGAGTTGCCTGCAGCAACCAAGCAAGTACTAAGTGATGATGGGGCTCGTGACACGCTACGATCAGGCAGTCTGCATATTCTGACAGGCTGTGTGGGACCTGAAGTGATGTGAGGTTTGAAACCGCAATATCTAGCTAGCTAGCATTGAAAACGATGGCAGGCTCAGGATGCCGCGCCGTGGCTACTTTCATGCGATGATGGCTTTGCTTGTTATGTCTCTTGCTTGCTTTCCTTGCAATTGCCTTGATCTGGCTGTAGTACAGCAGCAGGGGAAATCATGGTAAGTGTTTCAAACCGCGGTGACTTGCCAAGTTGCACTAGTAGACGCGATTCTCTGGAACAGCCTTGCCCTGGCCTGCAAAACTTAAAGCTCATATTTTAAAAATCACTTGATGCATCAATTCCATTTTTACAATTTTGTGACACCTTTTCAATACGCTTGCAGTGTTCTGGGGTACAGGTGGTGATGTTCTGGCCCTAATGAGAAGTGTTGCTTGTAATGCTTTTCCAAATGAGGCAATACTTTGAAGAGGTTGTCATGTCATTTGCCTGGGTTGCCGTGCGGCTCTACATCGAACAGCCCCCCACTCAGCCAATGACAAGCAGTTCCTGAACTCGAACCACGCATAGCAGCTTCACAGACTTTTACATGCTGTCTACAGTACCGCGTCCCCGAAACGCCGTGGATTGCTTCGTGTTGTTTATTGATGATTGGTTTATTGGGTTAGTCGTGTTGTTCCCAGGCTTTCCGGTTTCCGCACGTACTCTTGCTGACTGTTGGAGCGAGAAAAAGATGAGTTGAAGCAATCATCTTTTGGCATTTGGCCGCGTGAGAGTGAGAAGTCAAGGTGAAGTCTGACACGGCTTTAATCACCCCAAGCCCGAAGCAACAGACGTCCAATTGGGCGCTTTAGCGGTGACACGTCCTGCGATTGGCAAACGGTATTCTGTGCTGGAGAGCCTTGGGGTCACCCAGCGGAAGTACCAAGATTATTTCAGTACGAAGTGATGAGATTGACGTCGCTTGCCACTTGGTTCTTGCTTCCCCTCCGGTCAGTTCGGTTCCAACCAAGGCAAGACGTGGTTTCTCGAGTGGTGATACGGTAGTACCGGAGAGGCCCCAACGCAGGAACCAAGGAATTGCTATCTGGCTAACCAACCAGCAGTGTTTGAACTGTTGTGTGTGTGTGTTGTCCTGCCTGTTGCGCCCAGAATGCGCTCCTGTATGTGTGTGCTAGCTAGCTAACAAAGTAGAAAGGAATGAATAGCTTTATGAATCAATGTTTTATCGTGTAGTTAAAGTCTCTAGCTAGTTATTGTAGTTACATGTATAGTTGCATGTAACTGGGAACTCTGGACAATGCCGCATGTGGCTGTGGAGCTCTGCTGGTGTGCTGCTGCCTGGCCACGAACTGCTTGGCCTTTTCTTGTCTTCTTTGAAGGATCTTTTGAGACAGGCTAGTCAAGTCATTGGGATCTTCTTGTCCCTCTGGCGCCACTACCGTGGGAGCAGCAGAACTAAAGTGGACCACCTTTCTCTTGTTGGGGCATTGCTCTTGATCTAGTTGATCACTCTGAAGTTGTCTAACGCTGTCTGCCTTGGTGAGCAAGTTGTGTTGCCTTTTCCATTCATAGATTTCCATCAAGAGTTCATTGTTAGGACGAAAGTTGGAAGGATCCAACGGCTGACGAGTCAAAGGACAAGTGGGAACTTGATCTTGCTCTTCATCGCAGTTGAGCATCCATTCCAGAATGGCAGTGCGTTCAAACGTGTTGCCAGAAACTGCATCTTGATAAGGATACTTCATCAGTTCAAGTGTCAAAGGACATACAAACCGATCAGGAATGTTGGTATTGTTCTTGGTACCGGTAGTATTAGAAGAGCTCATGGTGGCAATGCTAGCTAGTGCTTCTTTTGATGGGTAGGTAAGCGGTGGGTGATTTTGATGTGGTGGGAGAAAAATAATGAGCTTTCAACCAGAATTGAGACTGGACCGGTACCGGTTGCTTCCGGAAAGATTTTCAAAGAAGCAGCATTGGCCACTCTGGCCTGGACCTGGCCTGACTGGGATCACGGATCTGAGCAAAAAGAAGGTGGTTGTGTTTGGGAGTTTGACTACTGATCTTCCCGTCTTCCCCTTATTACATCACTTTAGGTGCGGGAAATAGGCTGTTGAAGTAGATTTGTTCGGTCAAACTGCAAGTTTTGGGCGTATTACATGCAAAAAGCTTCCAGATTCCCACCTCTCTTCTGAAGTCTACATGTAGTTCTTCTGTTTTCAGTCATATGTTAAGATCTTAAATTAACTAATCAAACCAAAATAAAAACAAGTATTCCCGCAATTCAATCATTTCAGTCATTGGAAGGAAGGTCGTTCCAAACTGCCAGGAGAAGGTCATCGATAACACAATATGCTTACTTTCCGATCATTCACAGTCTTTGTGAGAAATGATTTAACGCTCAAAAACAAAAGACATATCACTAAAAGCTTCCGAGAATACACGAAGCATAGTGACGCCCACAATTAATGATACTGGCTCTAAGAAGTCTTCTTCCCAAAGCCTTTGTGCCAGATTGCCAGTTTGTGGGACTACATAATATTATGTGCTAGCAAAGTTCTATCAAGTGGTCATCACGGCATCTACCAGTCTTCTTTTTCCATTTAAATGAGCTGTGTTCACAATTCGCAGAAGCCTTTGACCAAGACCCAATAAAGACGACCGATAATACAGTTTTGTACAGCTGCTCGTAGATGACTCCTCACGACAGAAACATTTTTTCTCCATTGATAACGATCAGATCTCTTCTGTCTTTTGCTGGTAGGTGGACAGTTTGGAGTTTGCCATCGAATAAGCACCAGAACAGAACCTTCATTCTATCAGAATCGATTGGACCCAACTGGAACTGAACTCAGAAGGCGACACTGTGCGTCCCAAAGAAGGTTCAGGATATGAACCGGTACGTACAGCATTGAATTTCAAGTATGGATCGGTACGGTCCCAGAACCGAGACCGGGGCCGCATCAAGATGAGCATGACAAGAGTCCAATGATTGATCATTCATTCGAATGTTCAATCTATTGAAAGTTGAAAGCCTTGGGACTTTGGAGACGCCGCGTGAGAAGAGCCCTCGATGCGTTCCCTCCTCTCTCCTCGGCCCCTTCCTTCGCTTGGCTGAGCACAATGATTACAATCAGACCTGAGGAGGGGATGCTTCTCGTCCCAAAGTAGAGACCAGGAGGTGTTGACATCATTCTGAAGCTATTCCGATCTACAAAGCAAAACTGAGAATATTGGTGGGTTTGGAATAGGAGATGAGGGCAAACGAATGCTCTTGAACGCATTGGATATATACTGAGTAGTCGCACTTGCTTGTAGTAACATTTCTTAGGTGCAGTCCGCGCCAGCCACAGTCGCCGCGGCTCGACATCGTAAGCGCAGTGCCAGGGTGGTACGATATCAGAGACGAGGACGAGTGGGCTTGAGTAAGATTCGCTCAGCTAGAGCCATCGTACCTATTGTGCGCTCGTGGATCTTCCGACACCACCACTGCAACCATATTTGGCGTTTTTACCGTGTCGTGGACTTTGTGAACGTTAGCTCTTCGAGTTGGGCTTGTTGCTGGCTCGAGGACTTAGCTATCCGTTCGAGCAATCACAACGAACACCCTTCCCGTAGGAGATTTGAATAACGAGGAGAGGAAACGAGGAGAGTCGGATGGAGAGGATCCATCATGCGAATCGAGTCGTTGCCAATTTTGACCACATGACCCAAGTCGACTCGCAGCTAGATTCGAGATAGACTTGGAGCTCCGCCCTCTTCTCCATCACCTTCAAGTATTACTGCAGCGGCGCCGAAGCCGAATGCATGCGAGCCATCAAAACCTCGTTCGTTTTCTTACTCTTCCTGCCTACTAGAGAGAGTTATTATTCAAGTAGCTATTGACCCCCCTTCAACCTGGTCGACCCCTTCGCAGTTGTAGCTGCCCTGCTTGCCAAGTAAGTGTCATCCCGCCTTCTTAAACCTTATCTCCAGCTACAGGACTGACCGAACTCGTACCGGGTCGATACGTTTCGGAACCCAACATGTCGTCGATACTAGCGACTGTGGTTCTTCTACTTTCAAGCACGGAATTCTTGTGAAGAGGGACCTGTCTGCGACCTTGGTGGTTGGCAGCTGTATGATTTCGCTTTCTCCCCGCAATGCGTTGGCGGACTCCATTCACTAGGAAGAAATCGAATGATGCAACAGCCAGGGCGTTGACAATCATGATTGCCAGCAACTCATATCGAAACTCTACCGGCATCACAGTGGTGTTGAAGGGGTTGTTGATTGGTTGAGGTTCAGGATCTGTGATGCCACGAACAATGTCTTCATTTGAGCAGTTCACTCGCCAAAAACAAGACAAAGGACTTGGTACCAACGTAATGTAGATATGAATTGTGGTTGCCGCTAGGGATGCCATCACAAACAGATAGTTGCGATACCAAGGTTGTCGATACTCATAGCCAAAGTTGCATGTCATGGCTGCTGCAATGCATTGGGCCGTGACGACCAGGAAGACAACCTGCGTTTCATAGTTGTCTGCCGCCAGCAGAATGTCTCCTACCAGAAAGTCGTCAGCATTCCATTTACGGCATTGAAACCAATCCTTGCTGTAGAGTGAACCAAGGGCCCATCCCATGGCCATGCTGGATGTAGCAGGAATAAGTGTGAGGAGAACAGCGGTTTGAAGGGTGTGTGTGTAAACAACGCTACAGGCATCTTGCTCACCAGTTCAAGAGGACAATTCCACAGATGCTCAGAACAATCTGGGGAGACAGCAGCGATGCTGTTGGGCACGAGCTTGAGAGCTTGCTTGCTGGGCGTGCCAATGGTAATGTCAAGCTGAATAGGACAGTCCAAATTCCATCCAGGAATGTCCACATCCAGTCTGTGAAAGAAGCTTGTAGCCTAGTCATACCAAGAAGAAAAATCAAATTGAGATAGTCATGATCAAAGCAGCACACTGATCCAGCAAACGTTTGGTCCAACCTACCAGTATGTGATGACCTGGCAGTAGGAAGTAATGTTGCCATATAATATGAGATATGCATAGACCGCAAGTGTTGAGTGCAAAGTGGCACGGCCTTCTCTCAGAACAGTCAACACCGATTCAATATCCTTGTCCAACGATGTGAAGGGAGCAACCAGGCTGGCATCCCCATTGCTGAGTGCCAGTCCAACATGAGCAGCACGTAGAGCTCCACTATCATTTCCACCATCTCCACACATCATAGTCTTGCTTCCCAGCGCTACGAAAGTGTCCACCACGGAGACCTTGTCGTGGGGAGTGCAGCGTCCAACTACACGGATGAAAGGAGCAATGGAAGCTGCATAGTCAGGTTGGCTCTTTAGCAGGAGCCTCCATGCTTCACCTGTCATGGCCACGATGTTACGACTTCCTCCCCTCTGCAATAGACGCAGTGTTGGAGCATTCACCAGACTCCCAGTTTCACAAACCCAAGATACATCCAGCCCCACATCATCGATCACTCCTAGTATGACAACGCTTGCCCGATGAATCATCCCCGAATCCCGGGCTACATGGATGCCTGTATGTAGATTGTCGCCTGTAAGCATGACTGTTTGTACACATGCCTCGTGTAGATGGGCGATCACACTCTTTGTCTTGTGGCGCAGCTGGTTTGTGAAACTTAACGTTCCTGCAAAGGTCATGTCCTCCTCAATTTGCTCTCGTGTCATTGACACGATGTTGGCTGTGTCCATTGCAGGCAGTTTCTTGAAAGAGACTGCTATCTGGTACATGCCAATCCGAGCAAAATCCTCCAGTGACTCATCGAAGTCCTCTGGCAAAGTCTCAACTCGACATCTATCCCGAATGGCCTCTCCACTGCCTTTCGCCAATGCCATGAGTGATCCATCCGGGAGTCTGACAATCACACTCTGCGTCATGAGATAGTGATCAAAGTCGAAACGCCGTAGAACCTCAATAATGGTGCCATCCTGCTGAACAATGCTGACTGTTTGGCTTTGCGTATTGTTGTGGACAGCCTCATTTAAGAATATTTCTGCTCCACTGGCACTAAACATTGCTTTGTCAATGGGATTCCCAATCAAGGTACCATCATTCGAGGACATCACTAAAGTGTGGCAGGAAGCCATGGTAATGGCAACAACGGGTGATACAAAAGGGACAAACTTTGACTTTTCTGCACTCCTGCAGTCGGTGTAGTCCAGACCCTGACGGGTGAGCGTGCCAGTTTTATCGAAGAAAACTGTAGTAACTTCTCCAGCCATCAAAATATCCGAGTTGGAGCAGACCACCTGCTTTCTCGCCAGTCGCTCAAAGGAGTAACCAAGAGGTAGAGTAAATGATACCGGAAGGAGCGGTGGAAGTGAATTTGCCACGGCGCACCTGCACAGAAGTGGAACAAGGATGTCAGATGGGTGACTCCACAAACTTGCATACATGTGCACGACGGAGCAAACGAATAATTCTCACAGTCCCAGGTACCACGCAACAACATGGACATCACTGGCTTTGAAGTACACCAGGAGCCACAAGAAGATGCTGTATCCGACCAAAAGCAGCACCGCATAGGGCAAATCCTTCTCATACTGCACCTGATGCCGCCGGAATGCAATGACTTCTCGCAGCAGCTCTCCCTTGCGTGTAAAGGAAGCTGTCTGCGTCACGAGGGCAATGCCACCATGTGTTTCCAGAATTTTGGTTCCCGCCGATAAGGTTTGTCGTTTGTGTATTGTAGGATCGTACATTTCTTCGCTCAACAGATCCACTGACGATTTGGAACTGGGTGTTGCCTCCCCTGTCAGGGCGCTCTCATCTACAATGGCTTCTCCTGCCAATAGGACCATGTCACAGTGAATGACGCCAGGTTGGAGCTGGACAATGTCCCCCGGAACCGTTTCGGATTGGTGTAGTTCCACAAACTCTTCGCCCCGCAAAATGGTCACATAGCCATCAGTATTGGACAAGGCATAGAGGACACTGGCAGATCGATACCGGAACCAAGAAATGAGACAGGCACTAATGAGAATCACAGTCCAATTGGCAATCATCATGTACCAGTACTGGATAGTGACCCAGATCCACAAGATTTGAAACTGGTAGAGGTAGAAGGGTTTGGAAATTTCCTGACGGAACATTCCCCACAGGGATGGTTTTACCATTTCAATCTTGTTGGGTCCAATAACTTGACGGCGCTTGGCCACTTGTTCGGGCGTCAACCCATTTGCTGCTTTTCCTTCACTGTAATCCAAACTATTTTCTTCTGGGATGGTCGCCGTGGTATCGTAAAGCTTTGTCATGGTCCCCTGCGCCAAGGCATCGACATTGGGGACTCCAGGAGGTTTCATTTCGGCAAATGTCTTGCCAATGGACCATGTCCCTGGTACAAACATTTGCTGTGATTCATCAAAGTTGTATCGACGAAAGAGAAAGCAAAAATAGCGGGATCCATCTTCGGGATTTTGATGGACGGTGCAGTACTCCATCATGGAATCCGTCGTCGTACTAGTCTTGTAGCTGTCGTCCTCGGCGGCAAATACCCACGACATGACAACCCCCAGTGCTCGACTGATTCGATTGAGCGTGCGTGTAATGGACGGTGGAACCCACCGTGTTGGCTGGAATGTTCCGTGTAATAATGAATTGTCGTCGCTGTTCTTCTCTCCTGGCTTGTTGTTCTTGGAGTTGTTATTACCGTCCTTCCGATGACCTTGTGTCGTTTGCTGATATCGCACCGCCACTAGATTTGCGGTGGCGAGACTGGATCGTCGATAAAATAGAGATTGGATACTGTAGGGCCAATAGAATGCCAAGTTCCATAGAAATCCGAGATTGTAAAGAAGACTGAATGTCTGTAGGGCATGCATGATTCCCTCGGGGGATGCCTCATTTTGATAACTGAGAAAGGTGGTGTATGCCAAGAGGGCGTACCACCCAAAAAAGGTAATGAGGGTCATGATGTAGAGAATGTTCCCCACGGCGTGGTGTTTTTGGTATCCTGTCTGGTACAGCTGTGCCGTGTTGGCATTAGGATCATTGCGAATGTGAGTTTCCAGCCTCAGTTGCAGTAGCTTGGTAGACCCCTGGACTGGGAACCATTGGTTGCTGACCAATCAAAGAAAGAAAGAGAAAATAAGTAATCAAGTTAGTAACTAAAAAATGATGGATCTACACGAGTATGTCCATGTACAGTACTCACTTGAACCAGCACCAGGTAATGACAGCCACGGTGACGGTCGCCAACCATACGTAGCCAGTCACATAGGCAGGGGCTGTCCAAGAGATGTCACTGGTCTGGCCGTTGCTGGTGGTAGTATTTTTGCACAAGGCAGCCATTTCCTCATAGTAGGGTCCGTAGATGTTGGTGCAGACATTGTAGGTCGTGATGAGCGGAGCACAAGCGACGGGAGCGCAATCAGCCGGACATGGCGATATTGAATATCCACTAGTACTGCATTCGAATTCCGTCGATCTACAGGACCCATCAGCACATAAGGTGGCGTTGGAGGCACACTGCATTTCCGTTGGACAGTATTCCACTGATGGCACACACAGCTGTGGACATGTTGTCATGGCAGGACAGTTGAATGTCGGATCCACATACCCACCCCCATGGGCAACGGCCACAGGTAGCACATGTAATAACAGTGAGGATAAAACTAGTAGATACATGACTGTCATTCTTATGGGTAGCATTAGCTAGTGATCAGTGTTGCAGTCTGTTTTGCTGCTCTGCTGTTGTGTCTTTCAATGGTCCATGGAATAGAAGACCTTAACTTGCTGTTCAAGCACCAGCGTGCAAGCAGCAAGCAGCAGGCATCCATGCAGTTTTGCTTTGGCTGCAATCGGTCAAATTAGATTGGCCGTTGAAAGACATCGCAATGCCCTGGATCCCTACTGTATGTCACTTGTCAATGGTCACAGTAAGAAGAACTTCAACCTTCAGCCTTCTCCGAACACTAAGACTTGTCGCGTACTGACGTACTGCATACTGCATACACAGATGTGGCATTCGTTCAGCAGTCATTGCACCCCATTGAGACATTCTGTTTCTCAATGGTTACTGCAGGACCGTATTGATGAAGATTTAGTTCTTAGTTCTCACAGCTCTGCGAGGGTACGATGTACTAGCTAGTAGGCTCAATTCTCGTGCTCGGCTATTTAGTTTCACGAAAATTGATATTTTGTGACCCAGCACTGCAATGCATGTAACTGCTATAGTAGCCCCAGCACTGCAATCCATACAGCAGTTGCATCGGCACGGAGATACCACAACTGCTGGTGGGCCCCAAGGCTAACCCCAGCAGTGGATAGATAGCTCCGGTTGCTATCTGATTACCTCGTCGAGCCAGCCGCTTGGCCACACAATCTATCTAAACGTCAAGATACGACATGATTGATGCCGGCCGTCAAAAGCAAACCCCATGCCTGGAACTGTGCGATCAAACTTGCGCTCGAATGGACACCGTACGAGGGAGCATCCGATCGGAAGTTGCGCTCATTACTTGTTTTGTCGTCGTTCATTCATGCAGAATCGAATCCGTATCATTGAATTCAATCGAATGAATCGGTCGTCGTGTTCACACCACTCCTTACCGGTACGTTTGAGGGTCTAGAGTCTCCGGCTCAAGAGGACGATGTTATGATGTCGTTCACTTGTGCGCCGTGTGCTCTCAACGTATCCCTGTGCAACCAAGCGGGGCGCTGTGATCAGCAACGACCTCTAGCACCTCGAACAAGCCGCTGGCTACTGCAGATGGTACTTACCTGAGACGATCGCATGCACCCAAGATAGTATCAGAAGAGCTGCGGGTTACTTCCACCCCAGGGTCAAGGCAAGCTCTCAAAGTGTCATGAAAATCCTGAGCAGCATCGTGCAGAGAGGAAGTGGGACAATGCTCAATCTCTTGTTTGAGGGTGGCAAGCTTCTCTAGCACTGCTTCTCTCTCTAGCGCCGTGTCTCCACCCTTGGAAAGCGCAAATTGACGTGCAGCCTCTCGGCACCGAAGAGCTTCCCTTTGAAGCGACAGTGACACACGTTGCTCACTCAAGGTGGGTACTTTTCCTTTTGCTTTTGTTTTGCCTTTTAGATCAGCTCGTTCAGCGGCAAACAATGCAGCATTCTTTTCATCGTTCATTCCCAATGCACACTTTCGAAGCCAAGTTAGATTTGTCAGCAATGCCTGACGAAGCCTCTCTGTTTGCGTGGTTGAGTCTTCCAGATTTTGAAGAATGGACCTTTCGGCTTGCAGCATTGACATGGCTTGTGGGAAGCGAGTTTGAGCAAAAGCCACACACCCGAGTTCATGGAGAACGCAGGATACCTCCAAGTGCAAAGGATTGGTCTCTTCGGCTCCATCCGACGAAACTTCACGTGCATAAGCGTAGACATGTCGACGAATTCGCAAGCACTCGGAAAAGTGGATCCACGCTTGCTCAAACTGCTCCCTTTGGAAAGCAAGCGCGCCCTGCTGAAACTTCACAGCTGCTACATTGATATGCATGGTTCTCTCCCCGTAGAGCTCAATGTACAGCTCCAGTGCTCGTCGTAGATAGCCTTCTGCAGTGTCAAGTAAACCTTGTCGGATTGTAACTCTAGCAAGCTGCTTGAGCGTTGCAGCTCGTTGCCCAATTTGTCGGCTATGTTTCAAGGCTTCCTGTAATAGTTCTTCTGCCTTCTTCAGCAATGGTGGCTTTCTAGCGACATGAACTGTCGCAAGCTGGTGCAGGGTAGCGGCACAATCCGCATCGACGTCACTCGAATCTTCGTCCAGTGTGCGACGCAAATCCAATGATTTGGTAAGATACTGTTGAGCCGTATCCAATTTGTGCTTTTTCACTTCCAAAACCCCTAGCTCATGCAAGGTGTCCGCAACACTACGAACTGAAGAGCGGTCTTTCTCTGCAAGCTTGTTCCAAATCTCAAGAGCATGAAGCAGCGTCTCTTCTGCCGCACCAAAATTTCCCTGGTACCGTAATGCCTAGGCATACATGCATACATCCGAGGTAAGCCCTTGTCACGATTTCATTCACGCATACGGTAGGGGCCGCGAGTGGGTCACCCATGTCCTCGAATACGTACCTTGCCTAACTCGCAAAAGCTCTCCGCCTTGGCTTTCATGATTACTGTGTCTCCTTTGGAAGATTGTTGTTTGCCTTGCAGCCTGTCATACATCTGAATGGCCAATCGGAATGATGCTTCGGCCTCCTTGAAGCCGTTCATGGCCATTGCTGAAAAGACGCCTGCCTGTTTGGAGAGAAGACCAGCCTGAAGGAGAATGTTTGTACATATCATGTCTTGAGATTCGTTATTGTTGTTGGAACAATGAATGACCAATGCTTTGACATGTTCCACTAAATGGAACGAGTCCTGCCACGTAGTGGCATTTCTCGGGTCGAATTGCCATAACATTTGCATGGCGTCAACGCAAATTTGATGGTTATAGCAGCGCTCCGTTTGAGACTGATCCACGCGAAGAGCTTGCGACAGGAGTCTGTGCATGCTTCCCTTGCCCTCCCTGACGGTCAGGATCGAGAAGGATTTTAGCACTTTCCACACAATGTCTGATTGCTCAAATTCATCGGAGTCAATCCCCAACGTGCCACTGCTCCGTCGACGGACGGTTGCAGCAGGTGGTGGTGCATCTGTTTGTTTCCTCCTCAGCAATGGCGCTAACACCAGTAGTCCGGACGCGCAAAGGGACATGGACACCAAAAGTCCCGACCCAGTCATGATAGGAGGGGTGCCCTTGCGACGCCACGGCATTAAACATGAGACGCCCAAGCCAGCCGCCAGAAAGAGAATCCCTGCAGCTCCTTGTTGGGTATTCAAAAGAGATGATTGTTGCGAACTGTTTATTGCTTCTTGTCGTGCCCGTTCTTGATCTGCCTTGTTTTTGGTAGCCAACAAGGCACGCAGCAACGCTTTTGTGATATGGTCTGGACCTAGCCAACCAAGCAACCGTAAAAGCGAGAATGCCGTTTGACTCTCTTGTTGGATAGCGTTGAGACTGAGTGCTAGACTTGCGGAAACCGTCAAGGAGTAGTCCTGCAATCTTTGATTCCGCAGTAACAAGGATTTCCCCGTTTGTTCGGATCGGACGTATCGTTCGAGGTATTCGGAACAAGTGACATCACATCGTTGCATGTAGGCAGCTGCCATTCCCAGTGCCAGTGGTAAATGTCCAAGCCGTTCACAGATTTCTGTGGTGGCCGCCCTTTCCTTTTTGTTGCTACCAGTAGTACAACTGGATCCTCCAATGGATCGCCCCAGCAGTTGGACCGATTCAGTTGGACTGAGACATCCCAATACAAAGGAACTGGGACTGCTTCCCGAGTCCCATTCTCCCACTCGACTGGTGACGAGTACATGTCCCTTGGAGCCCGCCGTGGCCCCTCTTGGTACGAACCGTTCCAATAGTGTTCGGTCTTCCAAATTGTCAAATACCAATAGCCAGGATACTTTGCATCGAAAGAGTCTGGTCTTGACTTCTCCAATGACTTCTTCGTTGGAATTGTTGTCCTTGTCAACATCGGCCAGATCTGCCAACAACTGTCTATAGTCGGCACTGAGTGTTTCAGCCGATTCGGCGTTGAGCCAAATGACAAGTCCATAGGATGTGGGGAAATGGCGATAGCAGTATTCGATACAGACGGAACTTTTTCCCACACCCCCCATGCCTTGTACAAAGAGATAGTGGACACTGGAATGATGGTCGCCTGTGTGTTGCATCAATCGGGCGTGAATTTGTGTGAGGACCGTGTCTCGTCCCGTAAAGTGTCGATTGCGCCGGGGAATGGACCAGGTCCCTCGCATGCGTCGAATGAGAAAGGTGGAGGCGAATTCTTCTGGGTGTCGTCGATCAGCGAAATGGGTCAAGTCACTATGGCATTGCAGTATGCGATCGATCGTGTCGTAATCCTTGCGAAAGAGCCACGGTCGTCGTGACGAGGGAGTGTCATTGAGAAAAAACGAACTCCATCCTCCCGTGGTGAGGACAAATTCTTCGGCCATGGCGCTTCCACCCCATTCCAGACATCCTTGCAAGACTGTGTCGACGTAACTCTGAAGCAAAGGATGATTTTCATCCGCCTCTAGGCATTGCCTGGCTTGTGGAACATAGATCCAGATTTTGTCATTGCTGGTCAACTGGAACAATGACAACTGCGGGAGTGCATCCTCATCATGTTTAGGGTTAAGGTCAATGTGCTCCATGGGAATTTGGACCTTGTCATAGCCCACTTCGCGTCGATCAAATCCAGGCATCATGGACAATGGCACTTGAAACAAGACACCATTCATGCCCGCATTTGTACTAGTACCGGTAATACCAGTAGTGGTACGACTCACTCCCAGAGCTGTAAAGCCCGTGGTGGATCGAAAGTTCCAGCGCCGTTCATAGCCAAACGAGGCACGAATTCTCACAACTTGGCCCTTCAGTGGTTCCTTACTAGTAGTACCAGTAGTAGTGTCATTGTCATTCTCGAGCCAGGCAGCATGAGTGCTCGAATTGATGATGGATCCAAAACCAAACACATACTCATGCTCGTTTTCCATAGTGGTAGTCGCTAGCTGTAGATCGAGGATGAAGATTGCGTGTGATGCCCAGAATCAGTCGTGTTCCAAGCATCCTCGGTCCCGTTCCAAGCATCCTCGGTCCCGTTCCAAGCATCCTCGGTCCCGTTCCAATGCAGTCGTGTTCCAAGGATCTGCAGATTTTGGATGACTCGACACTCGACACCACTCGTGAATGAGTGAGAGGCGAGTCACTGTTCCGGTCACCCCCGGTACCGGTACAGGAGTGCTCCCTCCTCCAGCATACAAGCTGCCACGATGTTGTGCCTTCGAGGCAGCCCTGTTCCAGCTATCAAGCTTTCTAAGGGTTGGGATGGCCAAGGTGCCCTCAATCTCTTCCGTTAGAGTTACTCCATTGATCCTCCCTGCCCCTGCCCTGCACCTCTCCCTCTTTGGCTGATTTTGGTCCTACTCTGCTTACTCAATCGATTGTCAGCTCGCGTTCATGCATCCTGCCCTCGTCCACTGCCACCCTCTCCATAGATCTAGTCTCCCCTAACCCATAGTCTAGTAACGCCATTCATTTACAAGGGCTGGCCCCGGCAGGTACAGTACCGCAATCTCGTCCAGCCACCTTGCAACACAATCTAAATGTATCTGAACGTCGAGATAAGTATCATTCATAGTCTAGTCTACTGCAATTACAAGTAATTAGTGATGCCATCGAAAGCAAGCCCCCTTCCGTCGAGTATCCATCGGAAAGTTGCGCTCTATTTTTCTCGTCATTCATTCATGCCTTTGTGTACGGTACTCTAGCTAGTACGTCAAAACGTGTCTATACATACATGTAGATGGATGACGCAAACATACGTGCATAGATCTACATGTAGTAGTATACCTCTAGCTAGCCTTTTTGGTTGTTGGTTTTAAAAGAATAAATAACTATAGATTTGGTCCATTCATCCATCACATGCATACAATGTCATGATGTGTGCAACTGTTGCTTGCTGGCTGCACAAGTAAGTGCCATTAGTACCACTACAAACACAGCAGTGGCCATGGCGATTGATCTCATTCCTCACTCGGCGCCTTTGTTCCGTCATCCGTTATGTTACTCCATGATCAAATCTTCGGCCGGGATCCGTCCTAAAAAGTCTCCTGAATCGACGGCAATGCGAAGTCCCGTAATGAGCGTATTCCGTACTTCCTCGGGATCATCTCCATCCTCCAAAACAACACAGACAGTGGAGGATACAATGGCACACATGACGGCTTGATTTTGCGAGGATCCATTACAAAGTGGATTGTCGGACACGGTATTGATAATGACGGGATAGTCGTCCGTGTAGTAGGCCAGTCGGCGACGACCATCATGATGATGTTGCTGTAATGATACGGATTGCTGTGGCGGACTTGCTCGCAGCCAATTTCTTGAATTGGATGAGGAACTCGTCGTCGTCATCTTCGTTGAGGAGGCAGTATTGGTGGTTATGTACGGCAAGTTGAGAATATTGGGCGTGGTCCGTTGTGCATTGTCGTGTTCGTTTCGTTGGAGTAGACTTCGCAACATTCTCTTCTTGGATGGATAGTCTCCATTGAGAATATCAATGGTCTGCACCATGCAAGCAAAGGAAGTAATGAGTTGTTCGATCCTGAATGAATCATTGAAAGAAGATACTGTAGTTTGTGCGATTTGTGAAGTACTTACAATATTTTTGGTCGCCTGTTTGAGTCCATTGAGAACCGAATTGTTGTCTTCATTGAAAATGGCATCCGCATCGAGTCCAACCTGATTCCGGACCACATCTACACAATTTAGAGAAAGATCATAGGTTAAATACTCTAGAAAGCATGATTGTACTTGTGTATTGTATTGTATTCTTACATTGAAAATCGACACAAAGAGTGGGCAAAGTGGGTGCAATGGTGGGCGAGGGAGTGAGCAAGATGGTTGGTGGTGGAGTTGGTAGGACAGTGGGCACAGCTGTGGGTGCGTCAGTAGGTGATGACGATGGAGTCTTGGAGACAGAAGCAGATCCTCCCAGGGGAGTGATAGAAGGAGCTTGAGATGGAGAATCAGAAAGCACGGCAGATCCCCCCAGTGGCCCTGATGAGGGTGCTGTGGAAGGATGACTGGAGAGTACAGCCGCTCCTCCAATAAAGGCAGTAGTGGGTGAACTGGTTGTACTAGTAGCATCATCATCATCATCAATGGTGACAGATCCTCCAGGAACAATTTCTGGATTGATTGGAAATTGTGGTTGAGTGGGAGAGAGAGTGTCTGGCATGGTTCCCATTTCTGTGTAATCAACACTGGGTGTAGAAGTGGGAGTGTCTGTGGTCTGTATGGTGGTGATTGTCATGGTAGGTGCTATAGTAGGTGTACTAGTATTGGTAGTGTCAGTACTGTAAATGATGGTGTATCCCGAATCTTCCAATCCATTTTTGACATTTTGACAGAAAAAGTTGAGATATGGATCAATGAGTGGCGATTGTTGAGTATTGAGTGGGACATGGGCATTTCCTCCAATACAGCACTGATCATTGGTGGGTTCTACCACGGCACACCAACACGCCGCTGAGAAATAGACGGACTCGAGTCGAATGGGCATATCGGAAGCGTCGCCTGGCATCATATTGCCCGTTTGCAGCTGCAGAAACGCCGCGTATTCCTCCAAGTCCAACCGAAAGTCGTCATCTTCATCCACTTCCAACAAATCCAAGCGACATTGTTCTAACCATTCAGAATCAGAAAATTGACTCACTTGTACTTGAAGCACTTTGGTCTTGCCCACACTCTCTCTGATCAGCAGACTACTACTTAGCAGAAGCAACACAAATCGTATCATTGTCACACCAAAAACCAATAATTCAATTCATCCAATCTATCAAGTCTATCACAGTGAGAAAAGAATCTCGAGTTTGTGGTGCACCGATTACGAGCACGAATGGCCGAACTTTCCTCGCCATTTGAAACACGTTCTGTATTTAAATAAATTCAACCGTTTAATTTATAGACGCACACTTGACCATTCAAGAAAGCTACAGGATGTCGAGCAAAATGTAAAGAGGGTCCCACAGTCTGCCTAGCTAGACACACGAAGCTGCCAGGTAACACTGTATGATACAGCAAGCTTGTAGTGAGTAGATCTATCATACGTACGATACAAACAGCTTCCTATTTTATTAGAAACATGATTCTCGCCTATCACATGTTATTTATTTGATCGCGATCTTCACAAACCTGGCTTGTTCCAGCAATGATCCATCGCCAGGGATCGTGTGGCATGGATCGTACCGTATCGTATCGTACCGTATGGTTCGAACTATTACTAGCTAGCTACACATCCCGATGGCTGCAACTATTAACAAAACACTCTCTAGTACTGCCGCGGGACCAACGATGCCATCATGGCCAAATGGAGGACCGTATCGTACGCCACATGACCATACCCCACTTTCAGCAATACGGGTTCACATGCCAAAAACTCGGTCAATCCAACCACGGTAGCACCCAAAAACCACCACCCCATGAACGGAGTAATACGGTCGCAATTGGCAAAGACACCTGTCACGGAAACCAGTGCGTGCGATTGCACAAACACGGCCGGTAATGCCCACGTGGCTCCGGCAAAACTACCCAAGGCACAAAACGCCACCGTCACGACACCAATCAACACATACTGCAGAACCAACGGCAATCGAAAATGCGCCATGCGAACATCCATCGTCACCACACCCAGATTGTACAGTCCGTACAAAATCCATTGCCACGGTGCAGCCATAGCGTCTGCCGTTCCCGGGCACGACAACCAACAATGCTCCAACGATCCTTCGCACACGACACCGTGCGAAATACCCAAATGCAGCAGTCCGTGCAATCCAATCAGTAGGGCAATTCCCACCATCCAACTCGTGCCCGTGCGGTTAGCATGACCCACGAGGAGGGTCAGAACAGCCAATGCCGTATCGACGTAAAAACTGTATTGGTGCGAATTGTGAATATTGGAGGTACAAGCCCCCGTCGTTGGATTGGCGCCCCAGACACAGAATCCATCGTGCAAGGACGCCGTCATGTCGCGGAGTGGTGCCCAACAAATGGGATGTCGATGATCGTGATAATAATCGCAACCAATGCGACTCGTTAATGCCACCAAATAGACCAGTGCTACAATGGCACTGAGTGTCCAGGGCAACTTTTCGCGACCAAATAGCCACTGGAGAATGCCGTGGTTACGAATCGTAGCTTCGGATTGCAAGGCCAGAGGATGGTCGTCGGCCGGCGTGGTCCAGCGCCGGGAGGGCTTGGTGGCGTGTGGTTGAAACGGCCATCGTGGCTTGATGGGGAGAAGGGTTCGCTGGGTGGTGGACTGTTGACGTTTGTTGTTGTTGTTGTTGTTGGCTCTGGTCCAGCCAATGCCTTTGGGTTTGTTCTTGTTTTTGTTGTTTTTGTTGGACGTCTTACTCTTGCTGTTACTCTTGCTGTTATTTTTGAGCTTATTGTTGTTGTCGTTGTTGTTGCTAGATGATGATGCCACGACGCTGGCACAGACACCAACTCCTGATGCAATGGCTTTCGCAGTATTCCAGGCCATACCTGTTGTGGCATCGGTAGCAATGGCAGCAGATTTTCCCTCCTCTAGTTGTTTGCTTTCTTGCCTAGCTGCATCTTCTGTTGCTTCTTTTTGTTCTTGCTGCAAGATTTGTTTGCGTGAAGGTGGTTGGCTCAGATCAAAACCAAAGTCATCTACCAGTGGTTGTTTGGTTTGTGTTTGTTTGGTTTTGGTAGCTTGTTTCGTGGTTTTGGTATCTTGCTGCATTTTGGCTTGTCTTTGTCTTTGCTCTACTAGCTTTTGTTGTTCTCTATCTTGCCGTTGTTGTTCCTGCCGTTGCTTTTTCTCTTGCAGTTGTTGCTTCTTTTCAAGCCTTTGTGTTTCCTTTTCAAGTCTTTTGTTTTCTTTTTCCAATTGTTTCTGTTTTTGTGTTTCTGCTTCTTCCTCGTCTGGAAACTTGTAGGTAATGGCGTAGTCTTCTTTGGGTCTTTTCGTGGCGGCAGTGCTTCGGTAGGGATACTGGTACTGGTAGTTGCTACTGCTGGCCAGGATGAAACTTCGAGGAGCAGATCTTCTTGGCAAGAATTGCTGCTGGACTTTGGAAAAATTATGAGGATTCTTGCCATCCACTTGAGCAGAGGAATGATCTGCTTGACAGTAGTGACACGGGACAGATAGTAGCAGCAGCACAATGGAAGTAGCTGACTGCCAACTCTTGCATTGCAGTAATTCACGAGTCTTGACGGATTTGACACTTGGAATTGCAACAGTAGATCTTGCATCCCTGGATTCTTGGATACCCCTATGGGTACAAGTACTTGGAGTCCTGCTTCTCTTGTTCATTCTTCTTTCAATCATCTCCATTATTGGTACGTAGAACTACTAGCTAGATAATAGCTAGCTTGGCTTGGCTTTGCCAAAGTAACACTTGGATGTTCCGGTACGGTAGCTTAACTTATGATCCCTTCCATTCAGTCATGCTGCTGGACCGTTGGCCAAAGATCTTTGAAGCTTTGAAGGATCCTGCAAATATCTTGCCTTGCGACGTGTCGGAGAATTGGATCTTTGTGGAGGGCACTCACCATGACGTTTGACAGACAGACGTCAGAATATACTACAGTAACGTTAGCGTTATATGGTTCACGAGTGTGACTAAGTGACGACTTACTTCAAGTTTGCAACAGACAACGCTCTCCTGTTTGCCGCTTGTTGTTCTGCAAGGAAGCCACCGAACTGTGCATGGCGCATCAATCGTAAACGGACGGCCGACTACTGTATGCCCTTCATGGCTAGCTAGCTACAGTAACTACATGCAGTTGATATCGGTTCTGACATGCATGATAGTAGAAGTCCACGTTGTATGAGTTTGATGCATAGAGATTGATTTAGTAAAGAGCTATTTACAGAGGTCGCTCCTTGTAGGAAAATGAGTCAAGAGATCATACGGTAGCTTGGTGCAGTAGTAGTTATCGTCAGTTCGTGTGTGCATACTGGCTTGCTGGCTTGCTTGACTTCTTGGGGCTTTCTCACCATACTATTCACAAAGAGAGAGAGAGAGCAATGGCTGTCCTTTTTACAAGGTTGGCTTGAGTTGGATACATGGGTTGGACAGTTGGCTGCTTGCTTGGAGCGAGCAATGGGTGGGTATATACATAATTGGTGCTTGAGTAGCGTCGAATGTGGTTCATGGTTCATGGCAATGGTTGAGGAGACAAGAGGAGAGGAATCAAGAGGGAGATCACATGTATGTGGTTACGACGAATGATCTTGCACCCCACTGCCTGCGTATGAAACCTCTTCTAGGGAAAACATGTCAAAATCATCATCATCAATCAGAGCCAGAGCTTCTGCCAGAATGGAATTGACAACTGGAAGCAACTGCGCATTAGAGGGTGACTGCTGCGACTGTTGTTGGGATGCTAAGGACCTCTCAGATGCTTGGAAGAGACCACCTTGGCCCAGCAGGTGCAACAGTGGGACCGCTTCTTGGTCAGAAGCATTCATACTATTCATCATGGAGGGACTTGCGGTGGTGCAGGTAGCCGTGTTGAAGGAAGGGTAGTTTGTCATTGTGGTGTATTCTTTTTAGTTTGGAGAGGAATGGAAAGTAATTCAGCAAATTGCAAATTGTGAGAGAATTGTGAGGTTCTTAGTTGCGCAAGTCCAACAGTCATCGGTGAGGTCCGTACTTACTCGAATCCAGTGCAAAGCATACGTGTCCAAATAAATTATTGCGCCCTTGGGGTCCACTCATTCATCTTTTTGTCTTCGTGCGGCTCTTCGAGCAATCGTAGGGTATTGGACCACCGATGACCGCAGCCTCCGCTAAATGTACTGCACCCACTCAGAAAGACAAAATCCACGTGTTGAAACCAATGGCTGCAAGTGGCATAAGTAAGTCATGAAAAGACATGTATGTATGTGGTTGGTTGGTTGTCACTGTCACACTGCCACTCCACCAAAAAAGTCTGAGATTCTGTGCCGCCAGCTGTGCTGGCATTGGTACCACCAGGTACTGAGTGGCTGCATTGAGGGCGTTGGATGTAGTTGAAGCTTCTGGTTCCAGTGGAAACTCAAAGAATCCTAGCGGCCATTTAATCATTCGTCTTCTCAACAACAGTTCTGTAGACTACTACGAGTCTTGCTGTGCATCACCTTGAACTATGACAGTACTGACGTGTCTTCCAAAAATTTAGCAGAGTTGGAAATAATGAAAATGACGCACCAAATCCCACGCTACATGACAGTGTCTTCTCATACCGGTAGTACGTAGTCTAGCTCTTTGCTGGATCGAAACGAGCTTCGTTGATGGACGCCAGATACTGTACCGCACAATTGCCTCAGCTTCTGCACCCACTAAGAAAGACATAATCCACGTGTTGAAACTTTTGAAACCAATGGCTGCGAGAGACATAAATCCTGATGCATTCTATGCAAAATCTAGTACCTGGCACTCGAGTAAGAGCAAACGCGCTCGATGGAAGCAAAGCAAACAGCTGTTTTGCCTCAAGCTGTGCTTGCTCGCTTCGAGGCTATGCTTGCTCGCTAAATTTATCGAATTTACAACCATTGCGTCAAATGCGACATTTTAGTGACAGATTAATTTTTACTTAAGGGACCTGTTTGCGGCGGCCTTTAAATCGGTCGATTTTTCACCAAACCGAGCCCTGTTTGGTGAAAACAGAACCGGAAGCATCCAGTCGTGCAACGTCTTTTTGGCTTGGCTGGAGTGACAATGTCACACTTTCGTGTCCGATCCCTTAAGTCGATGTCACTTGAGGCAAAACACCACTTGCTTTGCTTCCATCGAGCGCGCATACTCTAAGGTTCGAGCGCTGTTCGAGCGACCAAAAGTCCAGATCTTGTGGCGGAGCGAGGGGAATCTTGGAAGCGTTGGATGTAGTTGAAGCTTCTGGCATTGAACTCAAAGAATCCTACTTGCAGTTGCGATGTTGCGATTCTGCGATTCCTCTTCATCGATCAACAGTTACGGTACGCTGTAGACTACGACAGTAGTATTCTACTATGCATAATAAGATGTACTACTTGAGTACCGTATTGTTAACAGGGTGTGCGAACCATCGGTGGTCAACCTAACGTTACGGCTATCTGGTTGAGTCTTTTAACCATTTACGTAACCTATAACCTGTAACCAGATAGATTTTCGCTATCTGGTTGGTAACCTATAACCTAACCTTTTACGATCTGTAATTGGTTCCGGATGTGGTTAGGTTATAGGTTACCTACCTGGATATTCGGAACGTAACCGGTTACGTAAACGGTTATCTAACTGGTTACGTATCTGGTTACTCGGAGCGTATCTGGTTGATCACCGCCGTTTTTTCTTCCTGATTCGCTCATATAGGGAACCTATGCCCAAATCTACCTGGTTTTGGTTACATATCTGGTTGTGTATCTGGTTCTTTGCAATGACCTATCTGGTTACGTATCTGGTTATCCGCCGATCTACCTGGTTATGGTTTCCCATTGCATTGCCTATTGCCTATCATGGACGAAGAAGACAATGATGGAGGCTTCATTGAGGAGGAGGAGGACCTGTATGATGTTGCCCAATTCTCTGACGAAGGAAGACGTGAACACCATGGTCTGGAAGAATTTGAGGATCATATCGCGGAACATTCCAAGTTCATGGACGAACACCGCTTCCACTTGCGGAAGGATCAGCTGGAAAAAGCCAAACGTCGGACTACAGACCTGTTGGAGAGAATTGCTAAGAAGAAACCCGAAGAAGAGATTTCCCCAGCCTTTCAGGATATGCTGGAGTTGGGAGTGTTGGAGGCCATGAAGGCGTTGGAGGAGGCCCTCCAGGATGATTAGGCAGCCAGCTTGGGCAGGTCATGTTTGGTAACCAGATAGGTAGTTTCGTAACCATTTATGTAACCTATAACCTAACCTGTAACCTAACCTGATAGAATTACTGTATCTGGTTGGTAACCTATAACCAAACCAGATAGAAAATTCTATCTGGTTGCTGTAACCTATAACCTAACCAGTTCAAAATCTATCTGGTTCTCACACCCTGATTGTTAATGCTGTCCATCACCTTGAACTATGACTCGTCACTCCAGAACAACTGACGTGTCTTCCAAAAATATAGCACAGTTGGAGATGATAATGACGCTTCCACTCGCTACCAGTACCAGTACCAGTACCAGTGCTCTAGAGTACCACGATGCCCACGATACATGTAGCTCTCATCTCTCATAGTTCTGCTGGATGGGAACGAGCTTGATGGGCGCCATCTCGGAAATGCCACCTTGTAACCTCCAGAAAGCAATGCAACTGGCAGGGGCAGAACCGTGTCAACATTAATTTCCGTTGACGCACCTCTTTCAAAATTAATGACTCGTCAGCTTTTTTGATCCAATTGTTTTTGATGCGTACCGGTATTGTTGGTGGTTGGTTGCGGCTTCATGCAATCGTATCGGACCATGACTGCAGTCACGGCACCCTCCAAGAAGCAAAGACACACTACTATCCACGTGTTGAAACCAATGGCTGCCAGTGGCACAAGTCCTGATGGGATGAATGAGGAGTCCGTATCTAGCTAGTAACAAAAAGTCCAGATTTCTGTGGCTGAGACTTGCCGAGCAACCCGCAACCTAGACTAGCTAGCTAGTAGAGCTCCGAGGGTACTGGTACCGTTGTAGCTGGTTGAGCTCTGGAGTTAGCTCTGGTTGTGATGATCTGTCTTGGAACTTGGAATCGTTGGATGTAGTTGAACTTTCAGTTGAAAGAAGACTAATTGCGAATATTCTTCAACTATTGTTAATGCTGTCCATCTCCTTGAACTATGACAATTCTGACGTGGTCATAAAAATATTACAGGAGTTGGAAACTGAATGACCCAACAGTCCTGTAAAATTTAATTGTAAACTAACTAACTAACACCCCAAGCCCCAAGTTAATACATGTGGATCAAGTATTATAGGAAGTATTAGTTTTGGCGGACAAGAAGACGAGCTTGATGATGGATCGGATGCCTTTTAGCATGGATTTTGCACATTGCTACTCGGAGAAGTGACCTTATTCGAGCGAACTACGTAGTCTAGTCTAGTAATAGAATGCGATGGGTTGGATCTTGGTTGGCACCAAGAATAACACCGTTACGTGTCGGGTGGCTACCGGTACTGCCCCTGACCAACCCAAAGCCCAGGGGCACCGATTGGAGCTACCTAGCCAGATTCTAGCTAGAGTGAGTCTGGTAACTGCTGCTTAAGCTTTAGTTGTTCGCCCACCCTCTACTGGTCAGCGGCAGTCAACAGGCAGCAATGGTATCGGTCGTTGCTTTGTACAAGCAACAATGGTTTTATTTGCTAGGTAACGGTAAAGGCCCAGCCTGACTGTTTGAAGGTACAGTTGGGTTGAATATTCCATCGTTAGTACTCTTTATTTCTCGACTATGAATGTACATCAAAAAATGCAGAACTGGTATTGGGAGAGATGGTTGCCTTGTACCTTGTACCGGTACCGAGGAGCGTTGAGATGGTTGCTATATTCATGGTGAGGATGGGTTGGCTGGCTGCCTGTGAGGACCGGGATGACATATTCAGTGTGTTGGTTGGACTGGAAAACTGGAAGTGTTGATTTGGACTGTGGCGGTAATAGTGGTCTAGCTAATGCCATGCATGGCTTCGTTGACATACGACATACGGTCATACGGTAGCCTTACTGACTCGGTGGTCCTTGTTGCTTTCCAGGGGCAGCACCGCTGTTGGTACCGGTAGGGGGCTTGCTCAGTGATGGGACATGCATGCCAGCAAATGTGTCATCCTGATTGTCTTCTTCATCGTCAAACAAGGTGATATCAATCAGTTCCATTGCCTCATTCAAGATGGAACTGAGAGCAGATCGAAGCTCCGCAGGTGATCTGTTTCCTGTACCCGTACCACCAGTAGAGGAAAGAGAAACATCTCCACCAGATCCAAAGAGACAACCAACCAGGGGCGTGGCCTCATTTCCAATGGGGTTGCAACTGTCGTTGTTGTGGCTGGCCATTGTTTCGTTGCTCGTGAAAGATTTTTGTGGCTTTGAGGTCCAGGACTTCAGGAATTGTGAAAATGTGAAGAGAGTCACCATCGGAGCGATGCACTCCCGTCTTTCCACGTCCAAACTCTTGTGCGTCGTCCAGTTGTCGTTTGGGTTATGGTCGTAAGCCCATGGTGTGTCCTTTAATGCTCTTGTTCAACTCTCTTCAACCCACGTCACTGGCTCGATAAAATCTCAACGGACATTGACTGACACAGAGAATCATTGTTAAATAATGACATCCGACATTTGGAACTAATAGTACCCCACGATGAAAGTGCTCATTGGTGCATTGGTGCCTTTATTAATAATTACTAGTAGTATGATGCATGACGCGGCTACTTGTGTCGACTAACAAGTACGATGAAAAGTTCGTAAGACGAATGCAGCTAGAATGCCAGAATGGCAGAATGAGAAGGGTAGCAAATGAATAATGTCTTTCCAATGGGCTGTTAAAAGTACATGCAGTTCGGACAGATCGGGTGGTACCAGTATCCTAATCCTCCTTCTTTTCAAGTTCAGTTGATAGGTTTGTGTTCGTGTTGGGATTGACTAGACTACTTGGACCTGTGTTTTTGGTTTGGTTCAGGAGCTTCAGGTCGTTTCTACTAGCTAGTAAAAGGCCCAACAGCCTCTTTAGCCAACGCTCTTTAGTATGCATAGGGATGACAGCTTTAGCCAGTCTCCAAGTACCTTGAATTCCTGCAAAGCAATCATTCATGGCTTGGAGTGGAGCATTCACGTTGTAAACTGGCTGCATAAGCTATATCTTTCTAGGTTGGTAGTTTCACTCCTTTCATTTACTATTAGTTACATCTTATCATACCGGTTTGGGTGGAGAGATGTTGGCTGGTGCAGTTGGTAGAAAGGACAAGATGATGTATTCATGGTGATGAAATGGGTTGGGTGTGTAGTGTGCATTCCTTTTTCTTGTCCCTTTGCAAATACGTGAGAAGGCGTACAGCTTTTAGTATTACTGATTGGTTGGTCCAGGCTTTTGCGTAGTGGGTTTCTTTGCTCTGTCCTCATTCGCAGGCAAAAGCATACCAGCAAATGCATCATCCTGCTCATCTTCTTCGTCATCAAACAAGGTAATGTCAATCAATTCCAAAGCTTCGTTCAAGATGGAACTGAGAGCTGATCTGATCTCAACATCCGATCTGGTGGTTCCCCTACCACCAGTAGACAAAAAGGAAACATCTCCTCTCGATCCAAAGAGACAACCAACCAGTGGCATGGCTCCGTCTTCGTCCTGTACCAAAGGAACCATGGTTGTGCATCTGTTGGAGTTTGCCATTGCAATTGCTTGGGTGTTCTTCTTGCTTTTTGCGGTTTACTTGAAAGCTCTTGGAGTGTTGCTTTTGGTGGCCCGTGTTTCTTGTTCAGAGAAATTATGAGCAGCAGGGCTTTTTGTTTCTGCACATCATACTCCAGACATACATGTAGTGGGATAGTGGTACAAGCAACAATCGGTCAGTCTTTTCTCTTGCGTCCCTCTGTCTTGAAAGAATTAATGAGGCTCAGCTGTCCTCACTAGCTAGCGTCACTTGTGGAGTTGCCTGTTAATCCTTTTTGGCTGGGGGGGAGAAGTTAGTGGCGCCATATTTTACACGCATTGCGGGTATCTAATCGGATCGAAAAGCAATCGGATCTGATGAATTAGAAGATCATCATTGTGGTACAGTAGCAATCCGGTACCGCTGGCTAGCTAGTTTTACCAGCTGTGGTTGCCGAACTACTCAGTAGCCAGTCGCTACACGTACTATAGTCTAGTTGAAAATTTGACACGATCGTTGTTTGCTATTGAGTTAAGCTTGTGATATTGGGTGAAAGAACGCTTCTCGGATTTCTCCAGCGAACGGGTCGAAGGCGGCACTAGACAGCAAAAAGCCAACCATCGACAATCGACGTCTGTTCGAGGCAACCTCTATGCCATCAGCGCTCCGAGTCCTCCCCCTGCATGCAGCGTAAATTCACAAACCGAGCAGCCCTGGTCGCCCTACTTTTTGACCTCTGTCACTGGCTTTTGGATTTGGCTTTAGGGGGATCCCCAGGATCCATCTGGCAGGAGGATGGGTTGCATCATCGGCTAGCTAGACAGCTAGACGTAAAGCATCAGATTTGACATTCAGGTAATCAACCAGGAGGTCTTCCAGATCTTTCGAAGTTTCCAATTCTAATTCTTTGGGCAGCTTAGATTGAATCGAATCATTCGAGGCCACCTCAAACGGCCCTTGCAACGGCAGCCCAGCTCACGAGGTATCGGAAGTGTCTCTCAGAGGCAAACTCACGGCTAAAGTGGGTGGTCGTTGCCGCTACCGTGCTGCATGATTCGATTCGATCCTCCAGGATCTGCTTGCAAGTCGGCGCGGGACTGATTAGAATTGAGGTAGCATTTCCATCATGCTGGTCTCCAGCAATGACCGAATTGCGGTTGCAAGGTCAAGGCAAATGTTGAGCCCAGAGCACTCACTAGCTAGCACGCGCGATCTGGGCACCCAAAACAGACAATTCGTACGAATACATGTAGTAAGGCGTGGTAGTAGCTGGGAGGTTCGCTTGGTTCCTTTGCTTGCCCAGCCCAGTTCGCTGCTTTGGGAGAGACGATATCAAGCTATCAAGACAAAGAACGAGAAACAAAGAGCTATTCGACCCAAGACGAACGAGGCACCGAGATTGAAGACTTGCGTTGTAGACTACCGTATGCATTGTTGCGGTCTTCTGTAAGTGCTCTTCCCCCAGTATCTCCTCTAGGTTCAAGACAAACTCCGAACTAATGCATGCAGCGGTGTTGACTAGCTACTATACGACCGTACCTGTGCGGTTGCTATTGTATATAGGGTTTCTCATCGTGGACTGCTCTTGGATTCGAAGGCGGTTTTGGTGTTACGCCGAAAGGACCCAACCCAACCGAAGAGCGGCGACCCGCCAAAGAGAAGAACCGCAAAACCAACGTAGCCGACGGTGTCAACCAACGACCATGATCATGATCATTGCCAATGACAAAACGAGGAAAAGAGGAAAGTTAGAAAGCTTGACTGAGGAATAAAAGAACGAATGAAAGACCGTTTGGGTGCCATTTCCAAGCGTATTGACGAGAGGCAGAGGCGTGCCGGCAGGTCAATACCACAAGGCCCACAAGGAGCAGCTGCAAGAGCACCGGAAAATAGCACCATTGTGAGGGTCTGAGAGAAGAAGGTGAACTGACCATGTTGTTGATGAGACACCAGAACACGAACGGCCAAAGCACCATTGCCCACGGCGACCGTTGCTTTCCGACCTCGAACCTCCTATCAGCTAGCTATCCCGTACGGTAGTTAGGTAAAACAAGAGAAGGTGAGACGTCGAGCGACTCGCAGACAGAAGAGCCGACATTACCTTGCATTAGGACGAACCAACCAACCAAGGAACCAACAGTCCAAGAGCGAGCGCTGGCTCTAGGAGGCCAACATCGCCATTGTCAACGGTCAACGGCCGACATTGCATGATCATGCAGACCTACGAGCAAGAGACAAGGGTTTGAGGCGCCACGGTTTACTTGGATTGAATGAAACGAGCATCGCAACCCGCCAAACAGAAGAACCGACTTTTACCTTTGCACGAGTACGAACCAGCCAACCCAATGCTACTCAGCTATGAACTGTTCCAAACCACAATCGGCTATACCATGGAAACAGAGCACGGCCTTTCACCCGACAAAGAAAGGTAGGTAGGTAGGAAGGTAGGTAGGAAAAGGAAGGAAGGAAGAGAGCCATCAGCTATGAACTGTTCCAAAACCACAATCGGCTATACCATGGACCAGAGCACGGCCTTTGGCAACTCTTTTTGTGAGGAGTTTTGCCGATCAAGAGAGAGGTTGTTGAGGCAACGGTACTCAGAATTCAAGCAAATACATCAACGGCGTTTGATTTCCGCGAATTACCCTCGTATGCTTTTAAAACCAATTAATTAAGGTCACGGTTGTCTCAAAACGGTTTCTTTCAAGAAAAAATTCGGCAAACGGGACCAAAATACGTGAACGTCGACAACTTCGCGAAGGTTCAGGATACGAACCGGCACGGTACGGCCGACAATCTAATTGCTGCCGATGCCGAAGAGATAACGCCGGGTGGCACTGGTACCGTACCGTATTCTGTACTACCAGTACTGGTAGTACTGGGAGTACTGGTACCGTCGGCTGGCTGCTGGCTGGTCTCGTACCGGTACGGTACTTGCTGTCGTGGTGATGTGTTGCCTGGAGGACTTCCTTTGGCAAAAAGTCGAGCTGTCGTTGAAATCCTGTGGCAAAGGCAATTTGATCGGCGTGCAATTCTCGTCCATCCGCCAGCAAGAGCTTGCCCGATGGCAAGACCTTTTCAATGGTTCCCTGCAGTGCGTGAATTTTGCCGCTGCGAATCATGGAAAAGAATTGCGGCGGTGCAATCACTGCGCATATCATTCTCAATGGGCAAAGTGGGACGCAAGCTGCGGTGTTTTCCGTAGAGTCCAAACTGAAGAAGGGTAAAAAAGAGTTCGACCAATCTCCAATACATGCAGGACGAAATGAGTGGGCGTCCCAGGATAGTACCGGTACTATGAAACATCATTCGACTGGGCCGCATTCCTGCCAACGTGGCAACGTGCTTTGCCCAAAACGACTGTAAATGAGCCATTCCATGGGGATGAGTCCGAGTACTGTACCTTGCTTGCGGGGGACGCTTGCCGGAAGAGCAAAATGGGAGCTTTCATGTGTTTCTTGCTGGAGGCAGTAGCAGCAGCTGACGCATTCGTGGCACATGGGCACTGCGTCCAAATCCCACCACGACGACTTGTTTGTCGTTGGCAACCCCTTAGTATCGGGAACCTAATAGAGAGATCCGGGCGTTTGAATGGAGTAGTTGGGATACCCTTTGGATCCCACGGTATCACTGGATTCCAGCACTTGCAAATGGGTGAAACCACGAGATTCAAGACTCGAGCCGTCAACAGACCCCCCACGCCTCCTCCAATGATGCAGATCTTGAGCGACCTTGGGTTATTATTACTATTGCTATTAGCACTACCGGTATGCATACATGTACGGACATCTGCTGCCACGGGAGGGAGAAAGAGAAGCTCCTTCCAGTGCTCACGTTTTGATGTCAATGCCCCTCTTGGTTGTACCGCTACCGCTACCGCTACCGCTACTGTACTGTATAATTTATGGACCAAAGGGTAACAAGCCAAAGAGAAAATCAATGACAAACTTGGATGGTGGAAATATGGCAATCAAGCCTCGGATCGCAGGGGATGTGAAGGTTAGGAAGACAGTCAGAAAGGTGTTGAGGGCAGTAAAGCCAAAGTCACATGCAGGCAAGGACAGATCAGCATCATCTGCAAATGTGAGAATGAAATCCGCAAGCACTTCCATGGCAGGACAAGTTTGGTTTTGGACGGCTTCTACTCGTTCTGCAATATTTGTTTGTGAGATGAAAATGAAAAGAGGTCACAATGAGTGAGAAAGAGAGCAGGCCAGCAATGCTGTGAATCCGCCAACCAACCAACTCTAGAGACGAACCTTGTTGACCTTCGTAACAGTCCGACTTGATAAAGTTGGCTCCAAAGGGGCATGTGGGTGGGATGTTGGAAACCTCACCGCTGGTATCATCTGATGACAAGCAGAACTCTGCATTTTGATAGGGGTAGGTTGTATCTGGATTCCCAAGTCCAAGTGTGTCTGGATCATAGGGTAAGTTTGTTGTTGGGTCATTGTCAGCAGTACATACACTTTGATCCTTGGGGCACATTCGATGGTGCTGAAAAAAGAGCCAATCGTCGGGCCACTGGGAAGCATAGAAACGTGATTTCGCAACAACATTTCCAATCAGGATGACTTCCTGCTCTGGACAGTATATGCTGACATCCTCTTCATAGCCCAATGGTTGTCCCTCATCATTGGCACAGAGAGATGCTTCTCTTGTATCTTTCATGACCGTGGTGTGTAGAGAGTAGATAACTTCTCCTGGTCTTACAGCATCCTCTTTGGTGACCCATTTCCGGAAATCTATGCTACCATCTCCAAACCGTTCTAGATACTCTGGATTGGGCCGGAAATGTGTGTAGATTGGGGCAACAATTGGATTTGCCTCGTTTCCAAATTGGTCATAAGCTGCTGCATCCACAGGGGACAAGACACCTGCAAACTTTTCAAATTCGCCAAATACTACGGATAGAAGACAAGTACCGAATTGCAAGATGAAGGCTGCATGTAAGATCTCTGCCATCACTGGACAATAACTGAAATGCTAAGGCGCCTCTTGACTTACATGGAGAAAAGGCTTCCCCTAGGCCACTCATGTTGTCAACAGGTCTATAGAGACAGAGCCAGGGAATAGCAATACAGGTTAGCTGGTTGGAAGCACGGAAACAGTCAACCACACAACAGGAAACAGAGAAGAGAATGGAAGCTGGCAGTAATATTGGCCTTACCGTGAAACTGTGACGCACCAAAAACATGAAACAATGTATGTGTGAGCAGGGGCAAAGGTTTCTTCCCTTCGTGTATGGATACGTAGATAACTTACAAATGTTAAAGTTGGGTGGATCATAGAACTGTCGTCCAGGGGCTCTGTTTCGAAAGCCGACACTGGTGTCACCAGTGTTCATGTTTCCAGAATGCAAGCCATCCCGAAAGAACTTGACTCCAAAGGAAAATAGATACGTGCCCATGAAATGGTTGATCAGATACAACTCTTTTAGGAATGGCACCAGTGGTGAGAATCTGAGAACTCCATGCTCAGCTCCTTGAAAGATACCAGTGAATCCATGATTGCCTGCCGATTCAAACTTGACGTTGGCCACAACTCCATGAAAATGGAAGAAACTGAATGAGGAATGAGCCAATGAAATGTTACAAAACAAGGATAAGATAAGAGCAGTTCATGGAAAGATAAGGGTGTTGGTGTTTGGTCATCAATCATGCAATGCGTTTCTGAGCTTTCTTACCGCCCAAATGCCGCAGGTCGTTCATCGGAAAATCGATCAAAGATGTTATTAAAGTCAACTCCATCCAGCAAGGCCACAGAGTCACACAGCTTTTTGAATTCAGGCAAGTTTGAATAATCATACTCTGTTCCTCTGACCTTGCCCATGATGACTGCCTCCTTGTACTGAGCGGAACCCTCAATGTATCCGGGGCAGTGAACGCAGTTGTTTTCATACTCATAAGCCGTGGTCGTGGTCCATGGTAGGATCCACAGCTGGAGATGACAGAATAGTATCACGACTGATGAGCTCCGCATTCTTCTTGTTTTTGTTTTTGTTCGTCTGTTGCTGTTGATCAGATGCAAGGCCATGGCGTAGCCTTATTCATCCATTCAATCTCGTCCAAGCCTCCGAGCCTTCATTTCTTCTCCCGTGGGTTGGCTATTTACCAAAAGCAAACGTTCCGACATCACCGATCCATGGATATCTAGAGAGGTGGCAGGTTGGGTGCGCTCTATTTCTTCGTGGGCGCTCCTCCAAAACCTAAGTATCCAAAACGCCTCTAAGTCGCCGTTACCATAAGTAGCATCGCCTACCATTGGTTGATTACATGTTGCTAATGTCGCGAGCGAGCTGGGGTTTTCGTGTGAGCACCAAAAGATCTAAGTAAAAGATCCAGTGTACAGATTTTAGTGGGTGGAACGCGAGTCGCCATTCCCCTTCTGCGATATTTATGCTGCACATGTTTTGCAAGCGTTTTGCTTCCACTTGCTCTATTGCAAATCAAATCACTTCATGCTTCGTTGCCACTCAAAACTCACTACTCTTGGAAACGGCAACGCTTACAAGTGATAGTCTACGAACTTCCCAAGTATCATAGCTAGCTAGCTAGCAATTCATCAGCATGACTCTACGGTCTTTTCGACGTCTAGTCAGCATCTTGTTCGTGCTTTTTCTGTCATGCCCTTCGTTTTTGGCTGCTGGACCCGTACGGAGAAGACGACGCACCACGAGCACACGAAGAAGAACGAACCAGTACGAGTTTGTACTTCAGCCTGGTCGTGTCTCCAATGACGAGCCCAAAATCGACAGCAACAAGGACAACAGTGATCAGAATGAAGATGAAAGCGGCTTCTGGGACAAGTACGTCAACGGCATCGTCTCGAGCAGCATTGTTCCCACGCCTCCCCCCACACCGTCACCTACAAAGGCTCCAACCCCAGTACCCACAAAAGCTCCAACTGTAGCACCAACTATTGCGCCTTCCTCAACTCCATCCGACGTACCGTCCGACGTCCCATCCGATGTCCCATCCGACGTTCCCTCCGAGGCACCGTCATCAGCACCCACAGGAGTTTGCTTCGTAGAGGTACGTACAAGCACTGTAGATATAGCCAGCTAGCAACCCAAAGAATGCCGTTTGTGTGTATGCTCAGACTCACGGATTGTTGCTCTATTCTTCTGTACGATATTCATATATACAGGTCGATATCAGCTGCACAGGACCGGACGGGCTCGATTGTACCAGAATCAAATCTCCTGGAGGGCCCTCGTGCACGGTGAACGGACCGCCCCGAACACTGCGCTTCGAGCTATTGCCGTACACAAACTGCCAAGATGGCATCAATTCACAGCAACAGCAATCACAAGGCGATGCTGTCTGCAAGGACTTGTCGTCAACAACGCCAAACTTTGAAAGCGTCGATGTTTCGTGTTTTTCCAGTGTGGATGGAACTTGGGATGCCTTTCAACAAAACGTACGAACTGGGGACAGTTTTGCCATCAACGCCAACCGCGGAGAGTCGCTACCAGATGAAATCACATGTCTCTTTGCATCTTCTGGAAAGTCCAATCCGGAACAATCCATTACGATGGACTTGTCGGGAGATCAGGATCTCTTTTTGCAAGATACATTTGGCAGCGTCCAGCTCGAAGCCTGTGATGAGTACGATTGCATGATCCCCGTAACTTACGAATACACGGTCGTCAATTCGGGAGCTACCGACGCCACAGTGACAGTGTTTGAACGGGAACGAGAAGGAGAGGAAACCTTGGATCTGATGCCAGGTTTGGATCCTTCGGTTATCGAATCGGGAGAGACAGGGTCTTCCCTGGAAACCGAGTTGGTCAACTACTGCCAGGATTCTGTCGCGGTTACGACCGTCTCGATCGTGGCAGAACCACCCAAGGGAGAACCATGTCCCGCCACTGCCTCGTATCAGTTTGAAACGCAAGTAGGCTGTCGGGTTGACGTGGACATTGCGTGTACTAACGAAATGGGCACCGAGTGTCGTGAGATTGAAACCCCTGATGGAACTTGCGGCGGAGACGGACGACCCGTCGAAGTATTGCGATTCACCTATCAACCAAGCACCTGTGAAGAAAGTAGACCCACGCACAGTCAGCCCGATGCGTTGTGTCGGGACTTGGTACCGCTTCCTCAGGACGGTAGTCCAGTCTCGATTGACTGTGTGGATGCATCGGATGGTGGTGCTACTCTTGTCGTTGAAGAGGGAGAGGCTGCAACGCCCGGTGGCATGATTATGATTATGAGTCCAAGTGTGGAGGCACTGCCTGCGCAGGTTCGCTGTCAAATTAGCAATGGATCGACTGTTTACCAGGAATTCACCTTTTTCACCACCAATGGTAGCGAAGGGGTGCCACTCAAGACCAAGGACCAGTTCGGTAGTCTGCAGCTGGAAGCTTGTACGGATAGTAACGGTCTGGGGCCTGACTGTATTCAGATTGTCGAATACGTCTACGAGATCAACAATGTTGGCCAAAACGACATGGATCTCACAGATTTGGAACGAACGCGAAACAACGAAACTGTTTCTCTGGTCAGCCTCCTCGAAGTCACCAACCTCAAGCCCGGCGAGTCTACCAGGGTATTTGAAAGTGACGTTGTCGACGTGTGTGAGCAAGAAGCATTCGAGACGCAGGTTCTGGTGAATGCTGATCCCGAGAATGGACTTGTGTGCTTCGACCAAGACGAGTACACATTCGAGGTCAATCCACCGTGTGCTCTCTTTGTGGAAATGATATGTCTCGTGGACGGCCTCGATTGTGCATCCACGTTGCAGGGCGAGCAGCTAGTTGAATGTCAATGTGCAGAGGGTTGTACCACACAACTGATCTACCGATACACTGGAAGTATGTGCGGCGAGAACGCTGACGCTGACGAGTGTGCGGATCAACTAGCGAACCCGGAAACAGCAAACATTGTCTTTCAAAGTGACGGCGAGACTTACTTTGAAGGTACAGTCAAAACCGGAGAGGATGTCGTGATTTCAACTACCAGCCCTGGAGAATGTTTGCCAGAAGAATTTGAGGTTGCAGTTTCGGACGGCGAGGATGTGGCACAAGTGTTACAGCTTGACTCGTCTTGCGCAGATGGCCGCATCACCTTACTGGAAACTGTCGGAGCTTTTGAGTTTGCTGGCTATACTTGTGAAGAAGGAATTCCACACAACTGTTATGCAGATGTCGAATTTTCAGTGATGATAACAGGTGTCGGAACAGTTGGACAGGACATATCAACTTTGGAGATAATCATCGATGATGAAACCGTTCCAACAAGTGTGACTCTTCCTTCTTCCCTTGGTGCTCAGGAAACCTACACAGAACAAACAGAAATGGAAGTTGAGCTGTGCGTTGATGGACAGTACTCTGCAAGCACAAACGTGATGGCCACGGGACAAGCAGATGGACAGCCATGTTCAGGCTCGGCAAGCTATAACTTTGATATTGTTTCTGGGACCCCATTTCCAAGTCCTAGTCCGAGCGAGACTCCAAGCGCAGCACCCAGTGCTAGTCCTAGTGCCAGCCCGAGCTCATCGCCAAGTGCATCACCAAGCTCAAGTCCCAGTGCAACTCCAAGTGCCAGCCCCAGCTTATCGCCCAGTGTCTCCCCAAGCTCTGACCCAAGTGCCTCGCCAAGTGCAACTCCAACATTGAATCCTAGCTTGATTCCAACTACATCACCAAGCAAACCCCCCAGCGACGTTCCAAGTCTTGTACCTTCTCCAGCACCAAGCGCATCACCAAGTTCTGCACCTAGTGTATCACCCAGCTCTTCACCCAGCACCTCTCCAAGTGCAAGCCCCAGCTCATCACCCAGCGATGTGCCCAGCGATATGCCCAGCTTGGTACCAACTCTGTCTCCTAGTCTCATCCCAAGTCGTTCACCAAGTGTGACACCCAGTACCTTGCCGAGTGCAAAGCCAAGTAGCTCTCCCAGTGCAGAGCCAAGTAGCTCACCGAGTGCCTCTCCCAGTGACATGCCCAGTGATTTTCCAAGTCTTGTTCCTTCATCTGCCCCAAGCACATCACCAAGTGCAACTCCAAGCAGTTCACCAAGTGCAGCTCCAAGCGATATACCAAGTGACATTCCAAGTCTAGTCCCAAGCTCTAGCCCAAGCACTACACCCAGTGCTATTCCCAGTTCTTCGCCTAGTGCAACTCCAACATTGAATCCTAGCTTGATTCCAACTACATCACCAAGCTCTACCCCCAGTGCAACTCCCAGTGATATGCCAAGCGACGTACCAAGTTTAGTTCCCAGTGCTTCCCCAAGTTCACACCAAGTGAACCCAGTTCATCACCAAGTGCAACTCCAACATTGAATCCTAGCTTGATTCCAACTACATCACCAAGCTCTACCCCCAGTGCAACTCCCAGTGATATGCCAAGCGACGTACCAAGTTTAGTTCCCAGTGCTTCCCCAAGTTCAGCACCAAGCCGACCACCCAGTTCATCACCAAGTGCAGCACCAAGTAGCACCCCAAGTTCCACACCCAGTTCTGCGCCAAGCTCTTCCCCCAGTGCAACTCCAAGTGATATGCCAAGTGATGTTCCAAGTCTAGTTCCCAGTGCTTCCCCAAGCACTAAACCAAGCAAGACTCCTAGTGTTGTCCCCAGTTCAACCCCCAGTGACATGCCCAGCGATTTACCCAGCCTAGTTCCCAGCGCATCTCCGAGTTCCAGTCCCAGTGATGTGCCCAGTGATATTCCAAGTCGTGTCCCAAGCAAGTCACCCAGCGCGTCACCTAGCAAAACCCCAAGTGCATCACCAAGTGCAACTCCAACATTGAATCCTAGCTTGATTCCAACTACATCGCCAAGCTCTGCTCCCAGTTTTGAACCAAGTGATATGCCCAGTGACATTCCAAGTCTTGTTCCAAGTGCGTCCCCCTGCAAATCCAAGTTCATCTCCTAGTGCATCACCTAGCAAAACCCCAAGTGCTTCTCCAAGTGTAACTCCCAGTGCACATCCTAGCTCTACACCGAGTTATGAGCCAAGTGATGTGCCCAGTGATATTCAAGTCGTGTCCCAAGCAAGTCACCCAGCGGTCACCTAGCAAAACCCCAATGCATCACCAAGTGCAAGTCCCAGTGTATCTCCTAGTTCTTCACCTAGCTATGAGCCAAGTGATGCACCTAGTGACATTCCAAGTCTTGTTCCAAGTGAGTCGCCCAGTGCAAATCCAAGTTCATCTCCTAGTGCATCACCTAGCAAAACCCCAAGTGCTTCTCCAAGTGCAACTCCCAGTGCAAATCCTAGCTCTACACCAAGTTATGAGCCAAGTGATGTGCCCAGTGATATTCCAAGTCGTGTCCCAAGCTCATCCCCAAGTGCAGCCCCTAGTTCACCCCCAACTGCAGCACCATCGGCCCCACCAAGTGCACCACCAACTGATATGCCCAGTAAATCACCAACAAATTTGCCCAGTTCCTTGCCAACAGAGGAATTCTGTGAATTTGATTTGGAGCTCAACTGTGTTCCCCCACCTGGGTTTGAAAGCTGTAATGCAACTCCACCCCCAGTAACTCAGTGCACTGGGCGTCCCTTTGAAATGGGGTTCCTCTACAATGGAGGCACCTGTGATCAGAGTTTCAATGTTCAAGAAGGTCAAAATCTCTTCTTCTGTACTGACTTCAGTGGTGGTCCTCCAACTGAAAGAGGTGCCATGTCCTACATTGTTGTCACTGATACGGATGAAGACACTGTCTATCATTCTGATTGGGTGGCTGTTGGGGATATCTTTACCCTATCAGACGGTGGCAACCGATTCACAGCAAACCAGCTCATTACAATTTACAGCAGCAATGAGACTTCTGATTCAGCAAACATCATTCAATCTATCCAATACCACAGCTCCTGTTCAAGCAACCTCTTTCTGAAAGACAGGTTTGGCGCCACTCAGCTTGTAGTATGGATCAATGAAGACCAAGGAGTTGTGTCTTGTTTTGCAAACCAGACATTTGAGATGGACATCACCATCCCAGTTGACATAGTGGGCGGCCCAGCAACTCTGCAAAGCTTGACTGTGGCGTCAAACATTGATCCATTCTTTTTCAATCTTACAGACAAAGTTGCTGGCACCGTGGTTGAAGCAGGAGAAACGGTTGCTGTCTCCATTACGGTCCCCATTGATTTGACTGAACGAAAGACGTACAATCTGTTGGTGACTGTATTTGCCGTGACTGCTTCAGGTCAGACTTGCAGAGCCACAGATCTGACTTCCTTTGATGCAGGATATCCTTTGCCTCCCATCTTCCCCACCTTTTCACCAACCTCAGCTCCAACAGGCACTGAACCACCAACCCCTGATCCAGAGACCAGTGTATGCAATCTGGAAGCAGACATTAGCTGCCGGTCTTCGCAGGGAGTGAGCTGCAGGAGGTTGGAGGCACCCACTGCCAGCGTTTGTGATTCTGAGTCGCCCGTAACATTCCTCTCCTTTCGCTACACTGGGGCAAGCTGCGGTGACACTGTCGGCTGCGAAGAACTGGATGCGGGCAATCCCATCGTTGACGAAGAAGTCTTCGTCAGCATCACGAATAGAGATGGGGACAGCGTCTTTGAAAGCGTTGTGTTCGAGGACGACATAATCACCCTCACCAGCGGAATAGACCGTGAGATTACAATCACTGTTTACACAGCCGATGCGGCAAGCGGTACTTCGGGAGTCCAGCTACAGACAATTGAACGGCTTCAGATTGGCTGCAATGGCCGAATTGGACAGGATTTGACGCTTTTGCAGGAACTCGGCGCCTTCCAGATAATCGCTTTCGAAAACGCTGATCAAGGACGACAGACTATTTTGGAACAAATCACACTTTCATATACTGTGACAAACGAAGGTCCGCTCCCTGCCACCGTCAACTCGGCTGCCAAGACCGAGCCTACCATTACAGAACTATTACCAGACGGCCCAGAAATCCTGCAAGGATTGGAGTCCAGAACGTTTGTCGATGAGCCCTTGACGATCAACTTGGCCGAAGGCGGCGAGTTCCGATTTGACTTTGGTGTAGTAGGCGAAGCTACTCAGAGTGGAGGCGAATGCTTCGACAACGAAAGCTACATCTTTTCTATATAATGGCAACAGCAACTCAGCGAAGCAGGTTGAACAAAACTTTCAAGCAAACCATGAGGTGAAAGGATGTTTGCGGCTGTATGCCTTCGATATTTGCATGTTATTTACTTCATATTTACGTATCATATATCACTTACTATAATTAAACTTTTTAGAGAACTCATGTTGCCGGTAAATTCACTAGCTAGAGCTCTACATGTGCTGCTTTCTTTGGCAATGTCATGCACGCGAGTTTCAGTCTGTCAGCGCTCGAAGCTGCCCATCTCAAAAGAGCGTAGTGAAGACTGAAGGGTCAGGATCTCTGTCTCTCTACCCCTGCCATCTTGGTGTCTACCGTATTGGTATGGTGCATCAGGATAACAAGCTTTATGGTGAAATTGTTCCCAGGTCGACCCTACCGTATACCGCTATTCAAGTCCAGTACATCATCACAGCATCGCACACCTACAAAGGGCCACCACAACACCCTGCCTAGAGCCTTCCGCCTAGCTGGCCATCTCGGAATATCTCCCTTGTCTTTCCAGCTCCATCGTTGAAGAATGCTTCTGCTTGTATATGCCAACCATTCAAACGTACTATCTACTGCTAGCAAGAAATGAAGAAACGGCAATGCAATGGTTGATTTGGTGGTCGCTCACCGAATAAAGTCACTTTGGGTTGCGTTGGGATTTCCGATGGAATCGTTGAGGGAGAGACGGACGGTATGCGAGTAGGATTTTGTGTAGGACTACGAGAAATCGAAGGTCTCAAAGAGGGTCCCGAAGATGGAAATGATGTGGGCAATTGGGAAACAGACGGCTGGAACGAAGGTTCTGTGGTGGGGGCATTGGAGGGAAGTTGGCTTGGAGAGCAAGATGGTGTCGTTGTGGGCCCAGGGCTGGGCAAAATTGAGGGAATATCTGTTGGAGTGAACGATGGGGTATTGGTGGGATTATTCGTTGGGGAAACAGATGGGGCATTCGTGGGACCAAGAGTGGGCGTCACTGAAGGGAGATTTGTGGGACCTTCGGAGGGACTTTTTGAGGGGCCCATACTTGGCGAGATGGTTGGCATTTCGGAAGGCGCTTCGCTCGGTGGATCCGAGAAACAAATGCCAGTTGTGATGCATAGCGCATTTAGGTAGTAAGGATCGTTTATGTCGTCTGGGATCGTCTTTGCAACATCCTGGGGGGGATCATAACACAATCCAAACGCTTCACAAAAGACCACCTGAGAAGCTGTGTTTATCCAGGGTTGGGCTTCCCAAATTTGTCCAAACTTCCAAAACCACATTTTGTAGTAAAATGGAGCTTCGACCCAATTAGAAGGAGTAGACGCAAACGTTGGAGCTGGTGTCGGCGCAGGACTCGGTCGGGCGACGGTGGGCCAGGGTGTGAAGGCCGACGCACTTGTTGCTGCAGGTGTGGGCCACGGCGTGAAGGCTGATGCACTGGCGGGTGTGGGTGGTGGAGTTGTTGTAATGTTGGTCCAACAGATTCCGGAGAATTGACAAAAAAGATCACTCTTGACAACTCCTTCCACAGCTGGAAAAAGAGTATCAGTAATGAAACTGGTAACACTTTCGAGTGTATTGTCAATTCCATCTAGGTCTCCTTCCGATTCGTCCGGTTCCGTGTCTTCTGCATCGCTGTTGTCGTTGTTGTTGAAGTCTTGCGGTGTTATAACGATCACTTGGCCGGCACCGTCTTCCTGATTGTCTTCCCGATCTTCTGTCGGTGGTGCAATCCAGGTGGTGAAATCACTAAAATCCTCTTCGGTAGGAACGGTCTCTTCGCGCGCTATGGCCACTGTGGTTGTCTCTGGCGCTTCTTCTTCTGTCTCTGGTTCTTCTTCCGTCTCTGGTTCCGGTTGCTCTGGTTCTGGAAATGTCCAGGATGTAAAGTCTGACCAATTCGGTTCGTTGCCACTGTCAGCAGTCTTGCGTCGTCTCTGTTTTTCAGGCACTCGTAGTGACGATGCTGGTTGTTGCGGTGATCTTATTTGGTTCTCGATTTCTTCTTGCCCTCGCAGGAGAGAATGATGCTAAAGAAGGTGGGTTGTAAAAATGAAAGTGAGAAAATAAAAATAAACGAAAATGTGAGAAGTTGTGGAAATGAAATTCTGCGAAACAAAAAACAAGCCATTCAGAGTCGAGTCTACCCTGCACTATGAGAGTATTCAAACAGGAGAAGAAGCCACGCACCGTGCAAGCAAAACGATAGGAAACCAAACTGTCATACTAAAGAGTTGAACAAGCATCATACCGATGCCATTGACAATAGTATGAAACGTATAACTCAAGTACAAAAAGAGAATGGAACAGAACGCAACAACGGTAGCATTGGAATTCTGTACCTTACTGTCGTGTTGTTCTGTCGACGTTGTTGCAGCTGCAGGATCCTCTGCCAAGGCTTCCTGTATCAAGAACCCTAGTAGTAAGGGAATCAGAAAGACTACCAATGTTGCTTGAGATCTCATGGTCGATGATTCTTTTGTTGGCTTTGGCTGTTGCAAATGGAGAAGTCGCGATGTTGCTCGCCCACAACGAAATAAACAAGCGAATTCGGCGATGTGTTCGGAACATTTATTTGGACGTCGATTCGATTCATTCCAACTGTGACTGCGCCACCTCTTCGTTTTACTGCCATGCTCGTGGGAACACGTCACGGTTCCACCAAACAAATGACCGCCACGAGACCCAATTCCAACATTCCACGTTCACCAGATACGCCACGGTACCCATAGTATTAATGAACCAGATATCGAAGTACCGCAAGATAAGCGCCTAGCCAGCTACATATCTATAGGAGTTCCATATCTTTACATGAAGCGCTGATTGAATCATTCCAAATCGCATCGAGATGCCCGAGGCCCGAAAGCGTGTACATTTCTTTTCAATTACAGTAGCTTGCCGTTGGTTGGTTCACCGCAAACCAAGAAATAGCTTACAACCAACCGGACAGCCACAATGAACGTCCGCAGCTCCTTGATCAGCAAAGTTCTCTTGTTGATGGCCCTTGTGGCTATCATAATCGTCGCCGTCAGCGGCGATCATCTTCGAAAGCGCGATGGAGCCATGGCCCGCACTGGTGGAGTCACGACTCGAAAGCTGGACTCCTCTGACAGCAGCGAGGACTCGTCAAGTAGCGACAGCGGCGACGGTGATAGCTCCACCAGTACCGGCACGGATGCAACGCCAGCTCCTGAACCAACCGAGGATAGCGTAGATGACACTTCAAATGAAGAGGTTGAGGAGACGTCCAGCGACGATGGAGGTTCAATGCTACAGAGGATAAGAGTGGTGGTTGGGTGGATGCATTTACCCCAGAACTGGTAAAGGTGGAGAGGAAGAATCCAATAGCACGTCAAGTGAAGAGGTTGAGGTGACGTCCAGACGATGGAGGTTCCAATGCTACAGAGGATAAGAGTGGTGGTTGGGTGGATGCATTTACCCCAGCAACTGGTAAAGGTGGAGAGGAAGAATCCAATAGCACGTCAAGTGAAGAGGTTGAGGTGACGTCCAGCGACGATGGAGGTTCCAATGCTACAGAGGATAAGAGTGGTGGTTGGGTGGATGCATTTACCCAGCAACTGGTAAAGGAGGAGAGGAAGAATCCAATAGCACGTCAAGTGAAGAGGTGGACTCCTCTGACAGCAGCGAGGACTCGTCAAGTAGCGACAGCGGCGACGGTGATAGCTCCACCAGTACCGGCACGGATGCAACGCCAGCTCCTGAACCAACCGAGGATAGCGTAGATGACACTTCAAATGAAGAGGTTGAGGTGACGTCCAGCGACGATGGAGGTTCCAATGCTACAGAGGATAAGAGTGGTGGTTGGGTGGATGCATTTACCCCAGCAACTGGTAAAGGTGGAGAGGAAGAATCCAATAGCACGTCAAGTGAAGAGGTTGAGGTGACGTCCAGCGACGATGGAGGTTCCAATGCTACAGAGGATAAGAGTGGTGGTTGGGTGGATGCATTTACCCCAGCAACTGGTAAAGGTGGAGAGGAAGAATCCAATAGCACGTCAAGTGAAGAGGTTGAGGTGACGTCCAGCGACGATGGAGGTTCCAATGCTACAGAGGATAAGAGTGGTGGTTGGGTGGATGCATTTACCCCAGCAACTGGTAAAGGAGGAGAGGAAGAATCTGACGACTCTTCTTCGGACTCTTCTTCGGACTCTTCTTCTTCGGATGAAAATGCCAGTGTGGAATAGTTAAGCAGCACCATTTTCTTTGTTTTCTCTGAAGCCAGTTGGGCCAAGCCAAGCCATCCAAGGGGCGAGTATGTATTAAGCAGGAGCAACTTGTGAACGCAATGTGCTTGACTTGATCAGTGAGCCCGTCCGAGTACATGAATACATAATGATAACAGAAGTCTGAATATGACATTAGTTTGTTCCCTCGAAGTGTGAAGGGAAGAAGTGTTCCCACCACGGCCACTCCAGATTGCTACGGTACGAAGCAGCCTTGCCAGCCTTCGATGCATTGTTGTAGAACGAGAAGGACTGCTAGCTACACAAGACGCTACTAAAGAGTTGCTGCAAGTCAAGTTCAGTTTTTCTGAATCAGACTCGTTGGCAGCCCGACGACACCAATTTGCCTTTCTAGGTCTGTTTGTGCTTGATGCAGTTGACCTCTCTGCATTACCCGGAGACGTGCCTTTGCTTGGAACCTGCAGAGGGGCCTTACAACCTTGTTTTACCGGTAGGCGGGTCTGCTGGATTAGATTAGATTTGTCTGCGTGTCTGGAATGGCTCTGGAATTCCGTGAAAAATTAATGTTAATAATTTCTGGTTACCTAATGCATAACTCCCCCGATACTCCCTTTAACTCTATTATAATCGCTTATTACTAAGTAAATAGCTTGTATCCTGCTTGTGCAAACGCGACCAAAGGATTTAAAGTGCAAAACCGCCAGATGCCGAGCTGGTAAGGTTCGCTGTACCCTCTAAGAATCAAGAGCAGAGGATTGTATTGCTATGATAGCTGGATCGTTAGCTCTGTCAGTAGTTCTACTAGCTAGCTAGTACTGTACTCATTATATCTAATATCGGCAGGATGAATATCGGCAAGCAATCTCTCCTGTTCTTGGCCCTTGTGGCCAGCATGATCATGGCCGCGAGTGGCGAGAATCTCCTTCGAGCTGCTAGTCGCGGAGGAACGGTGGCCCAAGCTCGCAAGCTTGACTCCTCTTCCGACGAAGCCGACGAAGACTCGGGGAGCAATGACGGAGACAACGGAGACGTCGATCCCGCCGACGATGGATCAGACGGAACTGCCGAGAATATTGATTGGAGTACGATCCTTGAGGACGAAGAGGTTGTGGAACCTATCGATCCCGTCGACGACGGTGATTCGGCAGACCCGGGTGAGGGTATTGATTGGGCATCACTCATTGCGGAAGCAGAACAGGACGATGCATCGTTGCAGTCGATTCATGAACCCGATGAAACCGAGTCAGATGTTGTATCCGATCCAGACTCAAACGACGGCCCATCCGAGTCAGATGTTGTATCCGAGCCAGACTCCACCGCGGCCGAGGAAAACGACAGCGACGATTCCAGTGATGATAGTTCCGACGACGAATCGGCAAGCGCGGACTAGAATGTCTCTGAAGGAAACCAGCCAAAGCACGCGATGGATGGTGAGAACTGTTCCGTGCTACGCACCGTATGAGTGAAAGCTGCCTCCCGTTTGGTGAGTATAAGTATGCATGCCCACAACAAAGTTTACATTGAAGAAGTATCATCGCAATTGATTAAAATAGGAAAACCAGATTGCAGTATGATGCCCATGTATTCTCAATCCATTCAAGTTTCCTACCGTATCGGCTTAGCATGTCTTCTGTTGCCACAACCAATGGAGCAACATGCAGCACACGAAGTTAACGTGCTGAATGCTGAACCCAAGTAGTCTAGTAAACGCCCCTTGCGAAAATTTAGGGCAGGAAGGTTCGGTCGGAGGCCAGACATGGTATCTTTTCACGCACCGTTGGCCATCACGAGTGCTTTCCAACCAACACAGCAACGAGTGCTTTCCAACCAACACAGCAACGAGTGCTTTCCAACCAACACAGCAACGATTGCTTTCCAAGCAACACAGCAACGGCATCACGAGTGCTCTACTCAGTGGCAACCTGTCAAATACTACAACTAACTGAAAGTGGTGAAGCAAGTGTTAGAAGAAGCATATGGCAGGGATCAGAGAAGGCTACTAGCACAGGATGAGTAACCGAGGACTGGTGACGGAAACTGTGACTTGTAGTTACGGGGACTGTGTCAGGATCAGTGAAGACGAAGTCCATGTAGTCAAGATGCCACCAATGACAGAAACTCTACTGTACTAGACTATTGCAAGAGCACAAGTTTACCTCCAATAATGGCATCCGAAAAGCTTCGCTGCCATCGAAATTCCCAGCATGAAAAAGCACCAAGGAACGAAGTACTGCCCGTCATGTTCCGTGACCATGACAAAAGGGCTGGGAATAGTACCAATGGTGCTTCCAGCAATGGGAAAAGAGACAGCACCAAGGAACGAAGTACCACTGGTCATGTTGATACCACAGCAGTGGAGTTATAGGAAGTAAGACAATTGATGATCTCCACAATCATGACAGCCATGCAATCCTTCACGACAAAGCCATTCAGGAAGCAACACTGCAGTCCCACTTTCCGCCACAAAAAGCACTACTAATGAACCAAGTACTTTGTCTGGCCGGTACTATATGGATACCGCCAACCCTGTGGCAAAGGAGTTTTTGAGC